AATCGCCGCGCGGTCCACGACATCATCCTCTCCAGCTCGCACCCGCTCGAGGGCGGCGTGCGCAAGGGCAGCACCGTCCTCGATGCCCTGTACGACAACGCGGAGGGCCGCTGCTGCAAGATCACGCCGAACTCGGTCCAGCGCGAGATCGAGTACGTGAAGATGTACCCGATGATGATGGCCATTAAGAAGCGCGAGACGCCGCTCGACGGCAACAACCTCCATTCCGAAACGCACGGCACCGAGTGGATCCCGTACCGCTCCGGCACGCCAAGCCACATCACGGACCGGTGACCGCGGCGCGGCGAGTGCCGCGCCGCGGTCACGCCTCTCAAAGGCCTCAACCGCGCATCCCGCCCGCCGGCCGCCGCGACCCTCCCCCCCTACTCTTCGCGTCCAAGACGCCTTCCCACGACTCCTCCCGGCACGCACCAGGCACGCACCACATAACCCCACCCCCCAAAAGAGATTCCTGGGGTTTGACCAGGAAGATTCCATCAGGCCGAACTGCGCCACCAGTGGGGCTGTCGATGTTGAGGTCCCACGTGCCGCTTTCGATGTCTTTCGCTTCTAGCGGTGTCTCTTGGGGTCGTCACTCCAGATCTCGAAGCCCCAAATCCTCCACTGTGCCACTCGGCGATTTTGAGCCACCCCTCCGAAACCGAGAAACCATAAACCCCCAATCGTTACGCCGCCTCGCCGCGGAAGCACTGCGTGTTGAAGAGGTCCGCGCCGGCGCAGGCGGCCCGGGGCCCGACGGCGAGGGCCGCCCAGTGGGCCTCCGCAGTCCTCGCGTTGTCGTCCGCGGCTACGACCAATCCACATGCCGTTCGAGCAGGCGTTCGACGTGCGAGACCTCCATGCTCCTCCGGTCCTCGTTGGCGTCCTGCCATTCGAATTCCATGATGAGCTCGGCGGGCTCGCCCAAAAATTCGTTCGGTGAAATGCTGATTCTCGTGATCGGCTCGGGAGACGCAACTTTCCACTCCATGTGCTCATACTCCAATGAGTTCATGAGTAAATCGAGAGCCGCGGAGCGCAAATCCAGAAAGTGTGCCTCTCCTGTCTGAATTTCCCCGTATATCATGCCGCGGTAGAGCACAAAGGTCTCGACTTCGAGAGAGTTTTCCCTGGCGACGAGTGAGCGTAAAAAGAAATCGTCATCCAGCAGCCTGCTAGCCGGCGTGGAAAGCGATGCCAGGGGTTTGATCAGCTGCATGTTACTGATGGAGCTTGTGGTCCCATCCGCGAGGTCCCACGTGCTGCTCTCGAGGAGGACCCCTCCGTACTCCGGATCCTTGGTCCAGATCTCGAAAGCAAACGTGTACTCAGTCACCGCCGGAGGCGGCGGCAGGATCGGACTCTTGTTGGATTGAAGCTTCCGCTTCGATTGAAGGTACAGTCGGCGCCACTCGCTCGGGCCGAGAGGAAGAGAACCCGCGAGGAGACGCAGCATCGGGTAGTGCAACAGAGCGAGCGTTTGCCAGCAGCGAGACGCGTGTTTTGATAGAGAACGAGAAGAGATCTCGGAGGCGCTCAACATCTCAAAGTCACCGAAGGATAGCACGTGCGAGAGGACGTCCGGCGCGAGGTCCAGCGCGCGTTCGAACCCGTTCGCGGCGATGGCGCGCTGCATCTCGCGCTTCTTCCCGAGCGCGATCTTACCGCCGGCGGTCTGCTTAAACAGGCCGTTGAAGAGACCCCAGTCTAGGTATTTTGCCAAGGCGTGAGGAGGCGACAAATTATACAACTCAGAGACCGTTTCCAGGAGCTCATCGCGAGGGATCGCACGACGGCCATCGATTTTCGCTTGCACGAGCGTTTCTTTTATACGAGAGGCGGCGTAGGTAAGCCCCATATCGCGCACGGGAGGCTTTTACTTTCGTGTCGCGGCCTGCACCGACGCTCGAGCGATGGCGCCCCAGTCCCGGATTCTCCACTGCAGTCTGCACGGCTCGTGACCGAGAGCTTGCTCTGGCGATTCGAGCCGTCCCTCAGAAGCGACACACACACAAAACCCCCGGACTGTTACGCCGCCTCGCCGCGGAAGCACTGCGTGTTGAAGAGGTCCGCGCCGGCGCAGGCGGCCCGGGGCCCGACGGCGAGGGCCGCCCAGTGCGCCTCCGCGGTCCTCGCGTTGTCGTCCGCGGCCGCGAGGAAGAGGCGCATCGCGTCGGGCCCGCGGAAGGTGTAGAGCGCGTCGCCGTCGAGCCACCAGACGTCCGGGTCCACGGGCATCGTGTAGAGCTTGGCGAGCTGCGGGTGGAGGTTCCGCGGGTCCGCGCCCGTGAGGCCGAAGGCGCAGAAGCCCCCGAGCTTCGGCGCGTAGGCCGCCGGGTCCGCGCGGAACGCGTCGCGGTTCGCCGCGCTCGCGAACCAGAACGTGAAGCCGTTGTGGGCGGCGGCGAAGGCCGCGTCGCCCTGGACGTGGGGCTCGCGCGCGGCGTCGTCCGCGGACCACGTCAACGACCGATAAGCGACGACGTCCGCGCCGCCGAGGGCCGGCGCCGTCGGCGCGTTGCAGAGCTCGTCGCGCGCCGCGTAGGCCGTCGGCGACGCGCAGAGCGAGGCGTCGCTCGCCTTCGGCGGGGGGTTCGCCGCCGCGAGGGCGACGGGGGCGGCGGGTTTCGAGGCCGGGAGGGTGCCGCCGAGTCCCAAGACCCAGACGCCGACCGTCGCGGCGACGAGGAGGGCGCGCGGCAGGGGGCGACCGAGCCACGCCGGCCCGACGCGGCCGGCGGAGGACGAGGCCCCGTCCACGGCGCCGTAGCTCGTCATGCTGGGCAGCCGTGAGAAGGTAGGAAAAGTATCCAGCTCATTTTGTTGAATGGTTAATTGAAGGTTCGAAAGACGATGGGCAGCTAGAACACGATGCATGAAGCGCTTCGTGGCGTTCGTCGCTGAATGGTTTACTTGAAACACGATGGGCAGCTAGAACACGATGCATGAAGCGCTTCGTGGTGCTCGCCGCCCTCTCCTGGAACGTCGACGGCGAGGAGCGGAAGTGGAAGAAGAGCTTCGATGACGCGTCCTGCTTCTGCGACGACGCGGCCGAGTTCTGTGGGAGCGCGGCGCTCTGGGACCACACCTGCGCCGAGGAGCCCTGCGCCGCCGACGACGACGGGTCGCGGACGCGCAACGCGTACGTGCGCGGCGTCTGCTGCGGCGGCTGCGCGGACGAGCCGCCCGTCTTCGACGACGACGGCGGCGCGGTCCAGGGCGGCACGTCCGGCAAGTGGATCCTCGTCAACGCCGGCATCGTCGTCGCGCTCGCGGCGGCCTGGGCCTGCGCCTACTGCTCCGGCTTCGACGGCCCCGTGCGCGACGACGGCGTCGCCGTCGGCCTCGGCGCGGCGGCGCGCGCGGCCCTCGGCGGCCGCCAGGGCCGCCGCGCGCTCGCCTTCGAGGCCGTCGGCCTCGGGCTTTTCGTGCTCTTCGGCGAGACGGACCGGCGCGCGCGCGTGCAGATCGCGGCGGCCGTCGCACATCTCGCAAGTTTTGTGCTCTACGCCATCTACCCGGGCTCGGCGCGGCTCGAGTGCCGGACGACGGGGCGGCTGGGCACCGCAGGCTCCGCGTGGCTATGCTGCGGCTGGGCGTCCATGTGCACGCTCTGCGGGCTGCTCTTCCACTCGCGGTGGATGCTGTACTTCTTCTGCTGTCTGCCGTGCTTTGGGTGCATCAAGGCCGCGCGGGTCCTCGCCTTCGGCGCCCCGGTGAAGCGGCGCGCGCCGCGCGTCGCGCCCGCGAACGAGGGCCCCGTGACGGCGACGCGGATCCCGCTCGCTGTCGCCGCATGGCTGCCCGCCGTGACGGTGGAATACGCCTACGCGGACGAGGAGCCCGCCGTCGGCGTCGTCGTCACGGCGCAGCCCGCGGGCGCGGCGACGGCGCGCGACCGCGGCGCCGCACTCCCGCGGGCGACGGAGCTCTGATATGTTGTACTCGAAGCGTGGCTGGCGCGTCCCCGGGGCCGACGGAGCTCCAGATGTCATGTTGTTCAACTAGTACTCATGATCAAAGCCAGGCCCACCCGCGTGACATGAAAAATCAAAACGTAAAATCGACGGCGACGGCCGTCGCGCCGCCCACCTCGAGCGCGACGCGCGCGGCGCCGCAGTCGCTCTCGGCCATGGTCGCCGCTAGCGCGTCCCCCGGCACCGCGGGCCGGAGGTAGGCGACGTCGACGCTCGCCGGCGGCCCCCGGTCGCCCGCGGCGCGGAGCGCGTCCGCGGCGAGGTAGGCCCACTTGGCGTTGTTGACGTGGCCGAAGTCGTCGGCGTCGGACCCGCGCACGACCGTGGTCCAGTCCACGGGCGCCCACGCGCCATCCGGGAACTCCAACGCGTCCGCCCGATCCTCGCCCGTCGCGAGCGGCCGGAGCTCCGCGAGCATCGCGTCCGACATCTCGACGGCGCGCGCATAGGTCTCCGTGTCGACGTGCACGAAGGTGCCGTGCGTCGTCGCGAGGAGCTCGTCGCTCGCCGCGTCGCGGAGGTCGCAGCGCCAGCCGAACGATCGCCTCGAGACGCGGGCGAGCCGCGGGGCGACGGACACCGCCGGCACGCGCATGTGGACGGCATCGTGCGGCGTCGCGAAGGCGACGCCGTGGACGCGCGTCACGAAGGAGTTCTCGCGGTCCCAGACCTCGCGGAAGTTCGGGCAATGCTCCATGGGCAAGCCGGCGGCCTCCGCCGACAGCGTCAGGCAGCGCGCGGACCAGTCCCACCACGTGCTCGTGTCGCCCCAGGCCACGCACGATGTGATCGATGATTGGTGGCGTCGCCGCGGTCGCGCGGCGGGGCGTAGGAGAGCTCGCAGAGCGCGGGCCATCGTGCTCTGCAAAGCCAATCGAGCACTGCAAGTTGCAGTGCAAGACCATGGCGCTGAACGAGCGCTAGCCGGCATCGTTAGCGGTCCATGGTCTCCGGGCGCGCCGGCGCGCCGATCTCGACGAAGGGGCAGCCCCAGGTCTTGTTCTCCTTGACGAGGATGAGGTTCATGTCCTGGACCAGCGCGCAGCACGAGCAGCAGCAGTGCGCGCACACGGACTTGAGCATGGGCTCGTCGATGTTGTACTTCTCCGTGAGCTTGCTCCGGTTGTGCGCGCCGACGCAGCAGGGGCAGCACTGCACGGCGCAGCAGCACTGCGCCGAGGGGCCGAGGCCGCCGGCCTCGATCGCGGAGCCGTAGTTACCTGATCGGCGTGCGCGCGATTGTGAGCGGAAGTTTTGTGCGAAGTTTAAGCCGTGCGAAACACGCAAGTGGGGAAGCATAGACGCCGCAGCAGCACAGGAAAAACAGCAGCAGGTCTTCAGGCAGCAGCCTGGCCCGCAGTCTTTCACCAAAAGGCAGCCGAAGAGGCCCGTGGGATACTCGCCCTTGGTCGGCGTCGCGGCCTAAGAACGAGCCGCGATCGCGATGCGCCGAGGCTCAAGCGGCGCGACTCTCTCTGCCTCCGCGAATTAACCAAACTGAGCGCGAAAGGGAACGAGCGCGCGGGCCGCACCATGCTTGCGAGTGGTGAGGGCAGCCAGGTTTGTTGAACATCAACAATCGCCTGTTCCTTGTGGCAGCTCGAGATGGACGCCAAAAGCAGCACGCTTCGGCGGCGCAAGCCCGCAAGTAGTTCCGGGACGGAGAAGCCGCCACGCAAGCGCAAGCCGTCCAGCCCTGCGAGCACAGGCATGGACGCCATGGACAAGGCCATGCTGGCCGTCGTCGTCACGTGTTTGGCGCTGCTCTACTTTTACTTCCACGCGGAGGCGCTGCACATCCTGCACGTGGCGTGGCACCACTGGCGCCCGGTCCAGAAACTCGTCGCGCGGCTCACGCCGAGCGGCCCGACCGCCGCGGCCGTGGACGTCGGCATCGCCGTCCTCGGCGGCCTCGCCGTCGTCGCCGTCGTCCATCTCCGGCAGCCGTCGCGCGAGAAGGCGAAGAGCCGGCGCGCGGAGCGGCTCGCGGCCATCGCCGCCGGCAAGAAGCCGGCGCTGCCCGAGGCGTCGGCGGTGAAACACGTCGTGCCCGAGGCGCACTTCGGCCCGGCGCACTCCGGCGCCGCGGGCGTCCACGCGCTCCACGACCCGCGGCGCGACGCGGCGCGGCGCCTCGGCGCCGGCGACCTCGAGACCTACGACCGCGAGGGCTACGTCGTCGTCCGCGGCCTCCTGCGGCCCGCGGAGCTCGAACGGTTGAAGGCGGAGATGAACCGCATCGTCGACGCGTGGCCCGCCGACGGCACGGCCGCGCCCGGCGACGCGCCGGAGACGCCGCTCGTCGCTTTTGATCCGGCCGTCGTCACGGGCCAGCTCAAAGTCAAAACCCGCGCCGACGGCGTGCGGCGCCTCTTCCGCATGGCCGTCCACGACGCGTTCTTCGCCCGCTTCGCGAAGGACGCGCGCTTCGTCGACTTTTTGGCGCGATTGTGGGGCCCGAACGTCGCGCTGCTCCAGTCCATGGCGCTCATGAAGCCGCCCAAGACGGGCGAGAAGCGCTTCCACCAGGACCAGGCCTACTTCCGGCTCGCGCCGTCGCGCGTCGCCGCGTACTGGATCGCCGTCGACGACGCGGACGCGGAGAACGGCTGCATGCACGTCGTCCCCGGGTCGCACAAAGCCGGCGTCGCGCCCCACGGCGCCAAAGTGGGGCTCGACCCGTCGGACCCGGAGTACCGGCGGCTGAACCTGGGCGGGGTCTACTACAGCGCGCTCGAGCCGCCGGCCGCGAGAGACGTCGTCGCGGTGCCCATGCGAGCGGGCGACGCCGTGCTCTTCCACGGCGACCTCGTCCACGGCACGCCGCCGAACGCGTCGCACAGCCGGCGGCGCTTCGCCGTCCAGCTCCACTACGCCGACGCGAACTGCCGGCCGACGGCGTGCGAGGACGGCGTCCCCGCGCCGAACGCGACCTACGGCCCGGGCGGCGGCTTCGACTGCGCGCCGGAAGCCGGCGGCGCCTGCGTCGAGCCCCAGTACTGGTTCTACCGCCAGGCCGAGCTCATCGTCGCCGGGAAGCGCGTGCCGGGCTGCATCTAATGTTTACTTACTACTCGCCCTCGAAGAAGCACTCGCCGCCCTCATACATGCACCGCGACGCCGCGCCATGCTTCTTGCACTTCTGTTTGCTCTTGAGCTCGCCGCACGCATCCTTCGCAATGCACCGCTTCTCCTTCTCGTCCTCTAACCGCCGATCCTCGTCCTCGTCCTCCTCGTCCTCGTCTCCGTCCTCGTCGTCCTCGTAGTCCGCCGTCCACTCGCACGCTCTTCGCTCGCCGAACTTGCCACCCAACGGAAACTCCGTGTCAGAGTAGCGGAGGGCTTTGCACGCCTTCTTGGACCCCTGTTCGGCGCAGCGAGGCGTGGGGTTCACGAGCGGCTCGTTCTCTCCCGGCAGGCTTGGGACGTCGTCGACGGCCTCGTCGGAGATGGCCGTCGCGTCGAAGGCCGGCGGCTGGAGCGGGACGAGCTTCTCGCGGAGCTCGTCGTCCTCGATTTCCTCGTCCTTCGGCGCGTCCCGGAACGTGACGTGGTCCTCGCACCAGCCGTTCGACGCCGAGAACATGAAGTCGTTCTCGCACCTGTCGAGCACCTTCTGCAGCTTCTTGGCCTTCCAGCCGCTGAAGTAGTCCGCGTGAAAGTAGCCGGTCCCGTCGCTGAACAGGTGGACGCCGCCGAGGTACGGTGCGATCCTCGTGAAGACCGCGATCTGCGGGAGGCGCACGGGGTGCGTCTTCGGGCACTTCCCGTCGGCCTCGCCGCGCTTCGGGTACGCCACGTGCGAGCGATGGTCCGCGCTGTCCAGGTTCGCCCCGTCCCAGCACGACGGCATGAGCATCGACATCTCGAGCTCGCCGCACGTCGTCGCCGGGAAGAAGTCGTTCCACCGCTCGCAGTCCCCGTCCGGGCAGGGCCCCGGGTTCGAGCAGTCGGCCTCGGGCCTCGAATCCGCCAGCGTGCCGGCGCCGCCGCCGATCATCTTGAAGCCGTCCGGGAAGGCCGTCGTCTCGCCCGTGGGCCAGATGTAGTACGTACTGAAGTACGACGTGTTCTGGACCGTGAAGCGCCCGCGGCGCTTGTCGTAGCGGTAGATCGTCGGATGCCAGTAGAGGCTCTTGTTTTCCTCGACGTTGGCGGTGTTGCCCGCCGCCTTGCGGAGCTTCTTGTACGTGGTGCTGGGCGCCGCCTCGCTCGCGCCATAGAAGCTGTGCACGTGCGTCGACAGGCCGCCCGGGTGCGTGATGGGGTCAGTGCGCACGTTCGTGAGCCGCAGGTAGTCCATCTTCATGCTGGTGGCGCCGGCCTGCCGCACCGCGGCCAATGCGAGAGCGACGTGCAAGAACATCGTGTGCCTGCGCCGCCCGAGAGCAAGTCGCATCGTGCGCGGCATGCCGGCATTTGCTGGGGTTTTTTAGCGACCCCAACAACCGAGGCAAACATGCGTTATTGGGCAGCGGCGGCGCCAGATGACAGGGTTGTCGATGGAGGTTGCGAGCTAGCCATGGCGGCTGCCTAAAGTGATGCAGTTCACGTTCCTCGGCGACAATTCGCCGAAGCCGTTCTCCTTCGACTACCTCGGCGACAACACGCCGCCGGCAGCGGCGGCGGCGGCGGCGGCGGCGGAGGACGACGAGGACGAGGAGGATGCGCTCGACGACCACGAGGCGCTCGACCACATCGGCGACGTGGGGCCGGAGGTCTTCGTGGACTACTCGACCTTCGAGGACCGCGACGGGTCCGACGGCTCGACCCAGGAGGAATCCGAGGAGAACCCCATGCGGGCGCCCGGGCGCCGCGGGTCGGCCGCGCTCGAGTTCGACGACTTCCTCGGCGGCGGCGGCGACTACGAGGAGGAGCCCGAGGCGAACCCCATGGCGCGCCACGGCGGCGCGCCGAAGAAGCGCGGCAGCGCGGCCTTCGTCGACGCCGCCGCGTCCTACCCGGAGGGCGGCGGCGCCGTTCTCGCGGAGAATCCCATGGCCGCGCACCGCACGGCGGCCAACTACGACGCCGCGAGCCTCGACGACCTCGACGAGCCGTCGCTCGTCGGGCCGACGCGGCGCGCGTCCGAGGCGCCGCCGGCGCGGGAGCGGGCGAGGGCGCGCGCGACCCGGAGCCGGACCGAGCCGCCGGTCCGAGCCGCCGGTCCGCCGGGCCGCCTCTTCAAGCCCAAAAAGCGGCGGTCGTCGCTCAAGGACGACCTCCTCGCGCGCCAGACGACGACGGCGACGCGGCGGTCGAGCTCGCTCCGCGAGGACCTGCTGAGCGGCGCGAACCCGACGCACCCGAGGCGCAGGAGCTCGGGCGCCGACTCCGCGGCGAGCCGCTTCGACTTCGACGAGCACTTCGGCCACGACCTCATCGGCTGCGACGAGGCGCTCCTCCACGCCCACGAGACGTCGGTCCACGGCCGGAGCCGCCGCGCGCGGACCATGGCGACGCTGCGGCGAGGCGCGCGGGAGGCGCTGCGAAGGGCCCAGTCGGAGGCGCCCGCGACGTTCGCCACAACGTTCGACGACGACGACGACGAGCTCGAGCTGGAAGCCCAATACTTCCGCGACCGGTCCGCGAGCGCGCCCCAGCGGCGCACGTCGACGCAGATCCGCTACGGCAGCGCGCTCGTCGCTCTGGACGGGCAGGGCGAGCTGGGCCTCGAGGCGCCGCGATCGCTCCCGACGGCGTCGGCGACCGACGGCGCCCTCGCGGCGGCGCAGGCGGCCTTCGCCGCGGAGCGCGCCGCGCACAAGACGCAGCTCCAGGCCATGGCCGACGCGCTCGGCGCCGCGCGGAAGCGGTCGCTGGAGCTGGAGCCGGCGGTCGAGGTCTGGCGGAAGCGCGCGGAGGCCTACGAGCGCGAGATCGAGCGCCGCGTCTCGGAGAAGGCCAAGGCCGACCTGCTCGACGCCCTCGCGGAGCTCCAGGCGTCGCGGCCCCCCGAGGACGGGCCCGACGAGGCGGGCGGCCCCGCGCCGCAGCGCTGGGCGCCGCGCGACGACCCGGAGTACGACCGCTACTTCCGCATGCTGCGCATGCACGTGCCCCGGGGCGCCGTCGAGGAGCAGATGGTCGCCCACGGCTACGACCCGGCGACCCTCGACGACGTCGAGGCGGCGCTCGAGGACGCGGAGCGGGCCGCGGCCGCGGCGGCCGCCGCGCTCGCGGCCCTCCCGAAGGAGCCGACGCTCGGCGACGACCCCAAGTACGGCAAGTACTTCAAGATGCTCAAGATGCACGTCCCCCGCGGCGCCGTCGAGGCGAAGATGGCCGCCGAGGGCCTGGACCTCGCGTACCTCGACCTCGACCCGACGAAGCCCCTTCCCAAAAAGACGCGGCCGTCCGAGGACCCCAAGTACGCCAAGTACTTCAAGATGCTCAAGATGCACGTGCCGCGCGTCGCCGTCGAGAACAAGATGGTCGCCGAGGGTCTCGACCCGAAGATCTTGGACGACGACGTCCCCGAGGCGCCGACGCCCGAGCCGCCGCCGGTGGCCCTCCGGGACGACGGCCGCTACGGCAAGTACTTCAAGATGCTCGCCATGCACATCCCGCGCTTCGCCGTGGAGAACAAGATGCGCGCCGAGGGCCTGGACCCGTTGATGCTCGATCGAGATCCCGACTCGCCCGCGCCGAGCGGCAAGCCGGACAAGCCGAAGCCGCGCTTCAAGATTGCGAAAAAGAAGCCCGCGAAGAAGCCCGACGAGCCCGAGGGCCCCAAATTCCGCAAGCTCTACTGGGACACGATGGACGCCGGGAGCCGCGCCGCGAGCTTCTGGGAGGCCGACGACGTCGCGCTGTCGGCGACGCAGGACGCGGCCGCGCGCCGCGCGGCCTTCAAGGCCCTCAAGTCGCTGGCGAAGCTCTTCTCCCGGGACCCGCCGGGGAAGAAGCCCGAGGCGAAGGAGGCCCACGGACACGAGAGGAAGGCCGACGAGGTGAGGATTTTGGACGACCGGCGGAACCAGAACGTCTACGTGGCCCTGCACAAGCTCGCGATCCCCGTCGACGCGCTCTGCGAGGCCCTCGCGCACCCGGCGCGCGGCGACCCGCTCACGGGCGACGACCTCGACCTCCTCGCCGTCGCGCTGCCCGCGGCGGACGAGGAGCGGGGCCTCCGGCAGTTCCTCGCGGACGCCGCGGCCGGCGACGGCGACGTCCACGCGGCGCTCACGCGCCTGCGGACCCAGGAGCGCTACCTCGCGGCGCTGCTCTGCCACGACCCGGACCGGACGCTCGGCGCCCGCGTCAAGGTCGCCGCCGCGCGGGCAACGGGCGACGCGCTCCTCAAATCCGCGGCGGACGAGTGCGCGGTGCTCTACGAGGGCGGCGCGGCCGTCGACGGCGCGGCGTCGCTGAAGATGTTCCTGCGCCTCACGCTCGCCCTCGGCAGCGTCCTCAACTCGAAGCACGGCGTCGTCGGCCGCAACGACCACGCGGCGGAGGTCGCGCTGAAGCTGTCGACGCTGCCCAAGCTCGCGACGGTCAAGTCGCTGGACCGCGTGCGCTGCCCGTCGCTGCTCCACTTCGCGCTGGGGCTCTGCACGAAGGACCTGGGCATGGCCGACGTGCTGCGGCTGCCCGAGGACCTCGCGAAGGCGGACGGCGCCGCGCGCGCGGACGCCGGGGAGGTCGCGAAGCGCCTCGACGGCCACGAGTCCGCGCTCAAGGACGCGCGCCGGGCCCTCGCGACGGCGCCCGGCGGCCTGGACGGCGACCTGGCGGCGTTCCTCGACGGCGAGGCGCGGAAGCTGGACGCCGCGCGCGCGAATCTCGCCGCGGCGGCCGCGCGCGTCCAGGTCGCCATGACCCACTTCGGCGACGACGGCTTCGAGGGCGGGCCCCGGGCCTGGCTCGAGCAGGTGGCGGCCTTCGCCCAGGTCTTCAAGACGACGCGCCAGGACAACGACGACCGCCTCGAGCGCGCCGCGCGCGCGAAGGACCGCGCGGCGGCCGCCGCGGAGAAGCGGCGCCGGCGCGAGGACGACGAGGACGAGGCCGCGGCCGCCGCGGAGCTCCAGCGCGACGCCGACGAGGCCGCGGCGGCGGCGGCGGCGGCCGCGCGCGACGAGGAGGCGCGCGAGGTCGCGGCGGCCTTGGCCGCGGCGCTCGAGGCCGACGCGGCCGAGGCCGAGGCCGCGGCGGCGACGGCGGCGGCCTTCCATCGGCGCCTCGCCTGGGAGCACGGCGACGCGGCCGACTCCTTCGCGGACTACGGCACCTACCCCTGCGGCTCGAGCGAGTGCCCGGCGACGACGGCGACGCTCCAGGGCGCCTACTCGAACGCCGACGGGCTGTGGTACTGCGCCGACTGCTGGGTGGCCTACTCGCTCCAGGACCCGGACAACTGGAAGGACGCCTTCGGCGAGGAGACGGCCGTCGACGACGCCGTCGACAGCCCCTGGGACGTGACGACGGCGTACTACGACGGCGAGCAGACGCCGACGGGCACGCTCGAGCCCGCGGCGTCGCCGCCGACCTTCGACGCCGACGCCGTCGCGGAGGGGCTGCTCCAGGAGGTGCGATAACGGTGTTTATGGCGGTTCGCGCGCGGCCTCGGGCGCGGCCTCGGGCGCGGCCTCGGGGACGGCCTCGGGCACGGAGGGCGCCGCGGCGGGTCCGGCCGCCGTCGCCGCCGCGTACGTCTCGGAGAGCCTGCGCTCGAAGGCGAGCAGGGCCTCCTTGTCGAGCTCCGTGATCTTGAGCGCCAGCGCGCGCGGCAGTTTCGTCGACACGTCGAAGGTCGCGGAGCCGATGTCGAGGATCTCGACGTCGTCGGGCGCACCGGCGCCGAGGAGCTGGACGAGCGTCGTCGCGAAGACCTCGGGCATCCACGAGAACGCATCGCCCTGCAAATGCAGCACGACCTGGAACTTGGGCGACTCCATCGTCGGGAACAAGTCCTCGGAAAACGGATCGACGCGCTTCTTGCGCTGCTCCTTCTTCTCCGCTCGCCAGCTGTCGAAGTCGTGCGCCTTGACCACCACCCGCTCCTCCTCCATGGCTGCGGCGCGCAGCCACGGGGCTGCCCAGCACGGCGGCCCGAATGTTCAACGAGATAAGTTGTTGAAGGGTAAACATTTGAGCGGGTCGACATGGGCTCTCAAACGAGCCACGCCATGGATGACATCGCCGATAGCTCGGAGCTTGATGAACTTTTCAGGCAGGCCGCTATTCACGGAGACGTCGATGAGATGCGTGCGCTGCGGGCGCAGGGCGCGAACGTGAATTCCGACCAGCCTCCTCTATCGCATGCTGTTTCTTTCGGTCGCACAGCTGCCGTTCAGTACCTGATCGACAACGGGGCTGACGTCAACACAAGCGATGTCCATGGAGGGTTCCCGCTCCATTCAGCTGGACTTTGGGCTCACAACGAGATCATGGGCCTTTTGCTCGCAGCCGGCGCGGACGTACACGTGACGAACGACCATGGGGCAACGCCCTTGTACTATCTGACCGAATATGGGACCGGGAATCGAGCGCGATGCGCGGAGCTACTCCTATCGCACGGGGCGCGCGTCGACGATGCGTGTCTACACGGGGGTCGACGTTGGACGCCCCTGCGGAGCGCAATCTATGGCGGGAGCCGCTCCCTGGTCAAGGTCTTTCTCCGCGGCGGCGCGAGAGAGTTCGCCACCGATGTCGGCCACGCCGTCGCGCTGGCCGACGACCTTCCGATCCGCCGCCCCCACAACAAATCCGCCTTTGAAGTGGTCGACGCCATCCACGCCGCGGGCGGCTGGGCGGAGTACGTCAAAGCGCACCGCCGCGTGCTCTCGAGCCTCGTCTCCAAGCTCAGCGCCAAGAACACCACCCGGCCCATCCCCTTCGACGCCAAGAACACCACCCGGCCCATCCCCTTTGACGCCGCGAGCCACGTATCTCTCTTCTGGTGTCCTCCGGGAGGCTACTAATAGACTGCCCTTGGAAAGCGACCTCAAAGTACAGAACTCGCACTTACGGTCGCGCTCATACATCCGAGCATAGGTGTCAGCCGAAGAGCTCCGGCGCGCAGGCCTTGATCATGTCCATGCGCGTCTCGCAGTGCGAGATGTCGATCTTCTTGATGCGCGCGTATTTCTTCAGGTTGACGATGTTCATCGTCGCGACGGAGCCCGAGGGGAGCGGCTCGAGCTCGGGCTCGGGCTCCGGCGCCGCCGGGGCCGCGCTCACGGTCATCAGCGCCGCGGGGTCCTCGACGTCCTCGTCCTCCGAGTCCATGGACACGACGAAGTCGCCGTCCTTCCGCGGCGTCTTGTCGATCTCCATCTCCTCCTCGGGCGGCTCGCCGTCGCCCGCGGGCGCCGCGGCCTCCGGCGCGGACGCGGCCTCCTCGGCGGCGGCGTGCGCGCGCGCTCGCTCGAGCAGGCTCTTGCCGGGGAGCTCCTCGACCGCGGCGGGCTCGGGCTCCGGCTCCGGCTCGGGCTCGGGAGCCGCGGCGACGGGCTCGGGGGCCGCGGCGACGGGCTCGGGGGCCGCGGCGACGGGCTCGGGCTCCTCCTCGTCGGATACCGGCTCCTCGACCTTCGAGAACATCTTCGACGCGGACGTGCGCTTCGCGGCGGCGACGGGCTCCTCGGCGGCGACGGGCTCGGGCTCGGGCTCGGGCTCGGGCTCCGACTCGGGCTCCAGGGTCAGCGCCGGCGCGGGCGCGGGCGCGGGCGCGGGCGCCGGCGCCGGCCTGGCCGGCGTCGCCGCCTTGCGCGCGAGCGTGAGGCGGATCGGCCGCAGCGCGTGCATCTTGAAGGCGTACTTGACGCTCTCCTCGCTCTCCCGCACGGCGATGGCCCCCGCGCAGGTCAGTCGATCGCCCGCCTTGATGCCCTTCTGCTCGGCTTCGCTCCCGGGCTGCACGCCCTTGATGGCCCCGTCGGGCGTGAACGCGAGCCCGAGCTTCTCGCCCGTCATGTCCACGCACAGGTACTCGATGCCTTCCGCCGGATCGCACGGCCGGCACACCGTGAGTCGCACGGGCCGGCCGGGCTGCGATAAAATCGTTTTGGTCACGCCCGCTTTCGTCGGGGGCGTCGGCTCCGCGTTGACGCAGGAGATGCGGTCGCCGACGACGATGCCCTCGGCCTCGGCCTCGCCGCCGGGCTCGACGCTGTTGATCTTCCCGTCGTCCGCGAACGACAGGCCTAGCCGGGGGCCCTTGAAGTTGATCGGGTAGAAGTAGAGCCCGTTCGACGTGTCGTGGGGCCGCGTCATCGTCAGGCAGATCGGCCGGTCCGCGTGCGACGAGATCGCCTCGAGCACCGCCGCTTTCGAAGCGCCCACGGGGTCCGGCCCGACGCAGGTGAAGCGGTCGCCGACGTGGATGCCCTTGGCCATGGCCTCGCCCCCCGGCATGACGCTGTCGACGCGGCCGTCGGGCCCGAAGGAGATGCCGAGCTTCGGGCCGTCGAACTCGACCTCGACGTAGTCCAGGGCCTGCGGGTCGAACGGCCGCTGGACCGACAGGTGCATGGGCCGCTTCGTGTGGGCCTTGATCGCCGCGATGACGCTCTCCTTGTCCGTGACGCCGACGGATCCGACGAGCACGACGCGGTCGCCCGGGCGCATGCCCTTGGCCTCCGTCTCGCCGCCGGGCATGACCGACGCCACGGCGCCGTCGTCGCGGAAGGCGAGGCCCAGCTTGTCGCCGTCGACCTCGACGTGGACCGTGGAGACGAGGTTCCGCTTCACCGCGGCCGACGGCCGCCGCGCGGCGGACACGAGGGATCGCTTGTCCACGGAGATGGCCGACGGCCGCCGCCGCGACGCGCCGGAGACGGCCTTGGGTGGAGGAGCGAAGGCCACGCGGTTCCCCTCCCGCTTCGCGGACGTCGGCGCTTCGACCCGCTCGTTTCGCGCCGCAGCCGGCTGGAGACTGGCCCGCGGGAGCGTGCGCGGCGCGAAGAGCGACTTCCGCGCGAGCGTGAGGCGGATCGGCCGCAGCGCGTGCATTTTCATGGCGTACTTGACGCTCTCCTCGCTCTCCCGCACGGCGATGGCGCCCGCGCAGGTCAGTCGATCGCCCGCCTTGATGCCCTTCTGCGCGGCTTCGCTTCCGGGCTGCACGCCGCGGATCTCTCCGTTGGGCGTGAACGCGAGCCCGAGCTTGTCGCCCGTCATGTCCACGCACAGGTACTCGATGCCGTCGGCCGGATCGCACGGCCGGCACACCGTGAGCCGCACGGGCCGGTCCGGCTGCGATAGAATCGTCTTGGTCACGCCATCCTTGCTCGGGGGCGTCGGCTCCGCGTTGACGCAGGAGATGCGGTCCCCGACGACGATGCCCTCGGCCTCGGCCTCGCCGCCGGGCTCGACGCTGTTGATCTTCCCGTCGTCCGCGAACGACAGGCCTAGCCGGGGGCCCTTGAAGTTGATCGGGTAGAAGTAGAGCCCGTTCGACGTGTCGTGGGGCCGCGTCATCGTCAGGCAGATCGGCCGGTCCGCGTGCGACGAGATCGCCTCGAGTACGGCGTCCTTGGACGCCCCGACGGGGTCCGGCCCGACGCAGGTGAAGCGGTCGCCGACGTGGATGCCCTTGGCCATGGCCTCGCCGCCGGGCATGACGCTGTCGACGCGGCCGTCGGGCCCGAAGGAGATGCCGAGCTTCGGGCCGTCGAACTCGACCTCGACGTAGTCCAGGGCCTGCGGGTCGAACGGCCGCTGGACCGACAGGTGCATGGGCCGCTTCGTGTGGGCCTTGATCGCGCCGATGACGCTCTCCTTGTCCGTGACGCTCGTGGACCCGACGAGCACGACGCGGTCGCCCGGGCGCATGCCCTTGGCCTCCGTCTCGCCGCCGGGCATGACGCTGTCGACGCGGCCGTCGGGGAGAAACGACAGGCCGAGCCGCGCGCCGTCGACCTCGACGTGGACCGTGGAGATCAGGTTCCGCTTCACGGCGGCCGACGGCCGCCGCGCGGCGGACACGAGGGACCGCTTGTCGGGGGAGATGGCCGACGGCCGCCGCCGCGACGCGGCCCGCGTCGCGGCCCCCAGCGAGGCCATCTCGACGCCGGCGCCGAGGTCGCGGTTCGCCGCCGCGGCGCGTTTCGGCTCGCGGCCGTCGGCGCGCGACGTGTAGCCGCCGGCCTTGCGCGGCGCGTCGTGCGTCGGCAGGCGCTCGTCCCGGGGCGGCGGGCCGAAGACGAACTCGGAGACGGCGGCGCGGAGGCCCTTGGGCGGGATGATGCCGAAGGCGAGGTCCGCGTCGTGTTCGGGGTCCTCGGCGTCGGCCGCCTTGATGTCGCCGCGCTTGATCCAGTAGCGCGCCATGCCCAGCTCGTAGACGACGCAGACGAAGGAGAGCATGGCCACCAGAATCAGCAAATTGACGCCGTCGACGGCGGCCTGGTAGGCCGCCTTGTCCGCGTTGCCGTCCTTCACCGCGATCTCGTAGGGGAGGACGCACTCGTCGCTGTAGGCCGGCGCGCGGCCCGCGTCGTGGCAGGCGCCCGCGGCGTCGACGGCGGCGTACTCGCCGCGGGGGACGCGGTCCGGGCACTCGAGGAGGTGCTGGTGCGCCTTGCGGTACGCGGCCGCGCACCCGCTCGAGCAGCTCGCGAGGTAGTCGCCGCAGCGCGCGTCGACGTCCGCGAGCTCGCGGGCGAAGGCCGCGTCGCCGCCGGAGCCGCACTGGATGGGCTTCTCCTCGTCGTGGCAGTGGCAGTCGTGGTCGTCGTGGCGGTGGCACCCGGGCTTCCGCGGCGCGACGACGACCTTGAGCGTCGCGCCCCGGTCGCAGCCCCGCGCGCTCGCGAGGTAGTAGGACCCCGCCTCGTCGAAGGTGTGCGCGAAGCCCTGCTGGACGTCCGCGCGGCTCGCGAGCTCCGCGCTCGGCGAGAAGTCGCAGTGCTCGAGGCTCGGCGCGGACGGGAGCTCGACGAGGTCCTGGTCGCCGGCGAACGACACCGCGTCGCCGACGTAGACGTTGAGCTGGGTCACGGGGTCGCCCTGGAACGACGGGCTCTCGCGCCAGGACACGTCGTAGGCGCACACCCCGAGGCTGTCGCGCGCCACGCAGAAACCGACGACGCAGTCCAGAGCGCAGGACGCGTCCTCCTCGAGGCCCCGCGCGCCGCCGCGCAGCGACGGCCGATGTCCGGCGGCCGCGGCGGCGGCGACCCAGGCCGGAGCCCAGATCACCCGGCGCCGCATCGCCCCCGGCACCACGCGTACTCTTCGACGGCGTGACAAAACCGGGGCTGCCCTGCCCTCTCGATAGGCCGCGGAGTTGGCTTCTGCAAGTCGGGCGCTCCATGCCCGCACGTATCCGACGTGATCTTGCCCCACCTGGTGGCCGACAGCCGTCTGAGAGAAGAGAAAACAAGCTTGCTCCGTTGAAGGGCAACTAGCTGATTTTCACGTGGAGAATCTTCCTCGGAAAACCAGATCGGCGCGCCGGCGCCTCGCCCCGAAGCCGGGCCCCCGTGGACGACCCGGTCGCGCACTCCACTGGGCGGTTTCGAACAAGCGAGGTTTATGAAGGGCGGCCCGTATGGGGCGTGGGCCGCGCGCGGAGGCGCCCCGCGCTTGAAGCGGGGGCGCCGGCCGGGCGATTGTTTTTTGTTTTTTTCGGACGAAGAAGGTGGGGACACTCACAGACGGATTCTCTCGGGCGGGCGGCGCGCCGGCATAGCGGCCGTCCCGGCCGCTAGCCGGCGGCGTCCGCGGCGACGAGCTCGGCGGCGTCGTCGTCGCCGTCTCGTCGGAGGTGGAGGACGATGCCGAGGCGGCGGAGCGTCGACACGGCGGAGCGCTGGACGTCCGCGTCCTTGTGGTGCCTCGCGGCGCGCTGGAGGGGGAGCGAGACGCCGGCGGCGAGGAGGTGGGGCACGTTGCCGTCGTCGAGGCTCAGGTTGTGGAGCACGAGGCAGCCGCAGCGGACGAGCTTCTCGCTGTCCGGGAACGCGGCCATCGCGCCGAGGACGTAGCGCACGACGCGCTTGTTCGCGGCCTTGAGGTCGAGGTCGTCCTCGTAGAGCGCGCCCGCCTCGGGGATGACGAGGTTGATGAGCGCGAAGAGCGCGCGGAACTGGACCTCGAGGACGCGCGGGTGGCTCTCCATCGCGTCGAGCACGCGGTCCAGGCCCCGGAGCTTCAGCAGCTCCAGCTTCTGCTGGTGGTTCAGGGCCAGGTTCACGAGGCTCCAGCAGCCCATGGCCTGCACCGAGTCCACGGAGCCGTGCGCGCGCATCGACGCGAGCACCGCCGCGATGCCGCCGCGCTTCCCGAGGAACGCGTCCAGGCCCTGGCTCGCCATGCCCCGGTGGAAGACCATGCCCTCGGCGCCGCCGATGGGCCGCGCGAGGAAGACGACGCAGTGGAGCGCGACGACCTGGAGCTCCGCCGCGGGCAGGAACGCCCAGAGCGCCGCGACGACCTGCGCCGTCACGCGCGCCTCGAGCGCGGCCTTGCGCGCGCGCTCGCAGTGGAGCCGCTCGGCCAGCGTCTCGAGGCACCGCCGCTGGACGCCGGCGACGTCCTCGTGCGCGCGCATGATGCGGCTCACGTCGTCGACGGACGCGCCGCGCGCGCGCGAGCTCGCGTCGAGCACGGACCGGTGCAGCCGGCGCAGCTCGGGCACGGACCGGCCCTCGAGCGTCGGCCGCGCGACGTGCCAGGGCGCCTCGGCGCAGAGCTGGATCCAGACCTCGCGGTTCTCGCGCACGCGGTCCCGGTGCTGCCGGCAGATTGGCGGGGAAGCGGCCGCGTGCCGCTCCGGCGCGTCGAGGAAGCCGAGCACGACGATGACCATGTCCGGCGTGAGCTCGATGTAGGCGTCGGGCGACCGGTGGCGCAGCAGCCGCCGGCTCCCGAACGCCGCCGGCGCGGCCGCGGCGTCGTCGCGGCGAAGGGGCATCTGCTCCGCAGAACCGGCGTCCGCGGTGGGCTCCCAGTCCATGCCGTCGCTGTCCTCGCCGCTCCCGGCGAAGTTGCGCAACACGCGGCCCAGGGGCGAGCCCTGCGCCTTCTTGCCGCGCCGGCGGCCGGGCATCTTCATGAGCTGGGGGCTACACGAACTCGACGAGACCGTCGCGCCCATGACGGACGTCGACGATCCCGCGGTGCACTGGAGCAGCAACGTAACGCTTGCGGTGTGTGTCGGAGCTTCTGCGAGGCAATTGCGGGTGCAATGGGTGGCCGTGGTGGTGTGAACGGGCGAGCAGAGTGGCGGAAGTGTCTCCGGCTGCTGCTTTTATCTCGAAGCCCGACGGCTGTTCGAGCGGGGATGCTTCCTCGCCACCGGGGGTCGCCTTTGTGTGCAACACAAACCTCCCACCGCCCTCTCGCGCTCGATCGATGGGCAGCCCCCCGCGCCACCCATAGAAACACACGATGGCGTCCACGTACGAGGTGACGGTCGTGCGGGCGCGCATGCCCAAAAGCCGCGCCGTGCTCGCGAGCATCTACGTCGACGGCGACGTCATCGGCCGCACGAGCCGGCGCCGCCGGGTGCGGGAGCCCGTCTGGGACCGCACCTTCGGTTTGGAGGTCGCCGAGGACAAGTCCCTCCAAACCAAGGTCGTCTTCCAGGAGCAGGTCAACAACGCCGCGTCCATCGTCGGCACGGTGGAGCTCGACGGCCGCGAGCTCTGCGCGAAGACGGGCGAGTGGCGCGGCTGGATCAAGGAACGGAAGACCATCAGCCTCATCTCCCACCGCTTCGCGGCGCTGATCGAGCTGCGCCTCGCCAAGCCCGGCGAGGGCCCGTCCCCCCGCGCCCAGATCTGCGCCGTCGAGGACGACGACGGCTGCGGCAACGACCAGATCATCGTCGACGTCACGCGGGCGCGGTCGCTCGCGAAGGAGTCGAAATTCGCGCAGACGGCGACGTACTGCGAGGTCCACTACGGCGGCGCGCTCATCGGCGTGACGCGCGTCGTCAAGGGCAGCCTGTCGCCGGAGTGGAACGGCAACTTCCACTACGCGCTGTCCTACGGCGGCCGGCCCTGCTCGCTGAAGAACAAGAACAAGAAGCTCGTCGTCCGCGTCATGAACCGCCACAAGACGGCCGAGGACGCCTTCCTCGGCGAGGTGAGCATCCCCAAGGTGAACCAGCTCGGCAAGGACGACGGCGCGGTCCGGCGTCCTCGCGACCGTCCCCCGTTCTCGCGGACGACGGCGCGGGGGGGTTTCGCCGCGCGCCGCTTCGCCGCCGCGCGCCGCTTCGCCGCCATGGGTTCATCCGCCGCGCGCCGCTCCGCCGCCACGGGTTCTCCGCCGCGCGCCGCTCCGCCGACCCCCATATCTTAGGCACGCCGAACTGCATCGAGAAGCAGTGGTACCGCCTCACGGCCGGCGGCGAGGAGCGCGCGGTCGTCTCGGGCGACGTCCAGGTCGCCGTGCGCTTCGACGCCGCCTTCGAGAACGACGAGCAGGCGCGGCCGCCCGGCGTCGGAAATCCCCGCCGGCTCGCCGCGAGGCGGCAATCCCCGTAGGCGTTCTTCGAGCACTACGCGGACCCGGACCTGCGCGCGCTCAAGCTCCTCGGCGACCTCTGGGACGAGCTCGACGAGGAGAACGACGGCACGCTCTCCGAGGAGCAGTTCGTCGCGCTCTACCAGCGCCTCGCGTCCGAGAACTTTGGCGAGGACGACGGCCGCGCCAAGGCCTTCTCCGACGCCGACGAGTCCCAGAAGATGCGGTCCAAGGCGACGTCCCACGTCGAGCAGGCCCAGCTGCCCGCGCCGGACTGGAAGGAGGTCGCCGACGGCACCGTGCTCACCTTCGCGGACGCGCGCCGCGTCCTCGACAAGGCGCGGGGCCTCCGGTCGAAGCGCGAGCACAGCTTCCGCGTCACGGGCGTGACGCTCCACCGGGGCCTGAACCTCGTCGCCAAGGACGGCGGCGGGCTGTTCTCGCTGACGCCGGGGTCTTCCGACCCCTACGTGAAGGTCTTCCTCGGCGGCGCGCTCCTCTCCACGACGGACATCGTCTACAAGACGCTCGACCCGACCTTCGAGCTCAAGATCGACTGCGACGTGCTCGTCACGGACCTCGAGGGCACGTCCTCGACGCGCGACGACGACGACGACGACGACGACGGCGTCTTCGCGTTCAAGATCTTCGACCGCGACCGGCCCGTCCGCCGGCGCGGTTCGAACTTCGACGCGAAACCGAGAGGACTTTGACGCGAATCGAGAGGAGACGCGCTCGTCCCGCTCTTCGGCAGGAGCCGCTCTTCGGCCCAGCACGTCGCCGCCGCGCTCGTCGCGCTCGTCCGAAACTGAAGATTCCCCCTCAGATTCCCTCCCAGGTGGTCGCGCGACGACGGCATGGGCCTCGTGTCCATCGACATCGGCGCGACGCTGCACCGCGCGTTCCTGAAAGCGCAGCGGGAGCGCAAGTACCACGTCGCCGTGGCCAACGACCGGCGCAGCGCGACGCACCGCGCGTTCTACGACGTCCTGCCGTCCAAGGGCTGCCACCACGCCACGGGCCAGCTCGAGGTGTCCCTGGACTACGCCGTCCTGGGCAAGGACGGCGACGAGGCCGAGCCGGGCACGCCGGCGAAGGCGTCGGCGGCGAGCAACAAGGAGAAGCGCGAGTCGCTCGCGCGCACGGACAAGCACTGGGCGTTCTGCCGGGGCCCCTGCGACGTCGTCTTCAACGCCGAGCACCCGGCGGAGACGACGGACCCCTTCACGTCGTTCCCGCTGACGCGGAACGTCCTCTTCGGCGAGGCCGTGGCGCCGCCGTCGTCGCGGGGCCGCCGCTGGCTCGCGCTGGGCCCCCGCGTCGCGAGCCGCGACATCTACCTGCGCTTCTGCCTGCGCATGTGGCACGGCGAGGCCGACTCGACGGCGGCGCCCCACGAGCCCACGGAGAGCGTGTCCATCCACTGGGCCGAGTGCACGGTCGACGCGGACCGCGGCGGCGCGGACCTCGTCCTGTCGCTCGTGACGGAGCGCTACGGCACCGTGGAGCTCCACTTCGACAACGCGCGCGAGTGCCGCGAGTGGTGGACGAAGATCGTCAACGTGCGGGACCGGACGCTCCGCCTCGGCCTCGACACGGACCCGCGGTGCTGGACGGGCGTGTCCCGGCGCGACCGGCCGTCCCTCGCGCGTCTTACGAGCTTCCGCGTGGACCCGGGCCTGGCGCCCCCGGCGGCGTCCGACGGGCGGCGCGCGGGCGTGCTGGCCGAGATCGCGGACCGCGTCGCGAACCGCGTCACGGGAGCGCCCCGGACGGCGCGGCCCGCGCAGCAGCACGTGGAGCTGGGCCCCCGCGTCTTCGCCTACAAGTCGGGCTACAACCACAACGTCTCCGTCGTCGCGCGCACGGACTTCGCCGTGCAGGTGCCCCAGCGCCGCGGCGCGACGGTCCGCGCGTCGCTCTGGGTCCCGCAGCGCGCAGGCGAGACGGAGGGCGTCCGCGAGCACCTGAGCGTCGTCCTCTACTGCGGCTCGAACCAGCGGTCCGGGCGGCTCGACTGCGTCGCGTCGCACGCGCTGACCGTGTGCCTGGAGTTAGGGGTGGCGTGCTGCGCGATGGACTTCCTGGGCACGGGCGCGTCCGACGACGCCTACAGCGGCCTGGGCGCGCTGGAGCGCCACGACGTCGCCGTCGTGGCCCAGTACCTGCGGGCGTCGCGGCGGCCGAAGAAGTTGCTATTTTGGGGGGGGCACTGCACGGGCGCGGTCGCGGCTTTGCTCTGCTCGGCGATGAACGACCCGTTGGCCTGCGCGGTCGTCGCCGACGGGCCCTACGCGACGCTCGGGGCCTACGTGGGCGACCTCCTGGACGCGTCGGTGTCCAAGGCGGCGGACGTCGACTGGGCGCGGCAGCGCGTCGACGGCGCGCTGCTCCGGCGCTGCGGCCTCGTCGCGGACGACGTCGACGTGCTCAAGGCCGTGTCCACGAAGCTCTTCCGCGACACGACGGAGGTGTTGATCATCGGCGACGAGGACGACGACGTGCTCGGCGCCGAGCCGGCCATCGCCATCGCCGACGGCGTCCGCGGCCGCGAGCGGCGGTCCGGCGACGACGACGACGACCTGCTGCTGGTCCGCGGCCGGTCGAAGAAGATGAAGGACACGCACCAGCACGCGCCCCGGGCCCTCGCGGAGATCGCGGGCTTCATCGCCACGCGCCTCGGCGCCGTCTTCATCGGCGCGCGCCTCTTCACGCACGACCCGCCGCGCGGCATCAAGCCGACGCTCACGAACGGCACGCCGCCCTGGGAGACGCACGACATCGACGCGAACAACATCGACGCCGTCGAGGCGGCGAAGCACGCCGCCCACGGCGCCGCGGCGAAGATCCAGGCCAAGCGCCGCAGCGTGCTGAACCGCAAGGAGAAGCGGTCCTCGACGGCCGCGAAGCAGCGGTCCTCGACGGCCGCGAAGCAGCGGTCCTCGACCGCGGACAAGGGCGTGCCCAAGGAGAAGCGCGTCTCCGCGGCCTGGAAGAAGGAGGTCCCCAAGGTCGGCACCGCGAGCTGAGTCTCCCATTCCCTCCTAAATTCACGCGCGACTTGCAGTGCATCTTGCAGTACTAGCTGATCGAGGCAGCTTGTCCCACAACTTGCAGTACAACTTGCAGTCGAGGCAGCCTCGCGCATGATGCTCGAGTGATGTGAGATGCGAATTTTGCTGCTCCTGCTGGCAGCCGCGCGCGCCGCAGACGTGCTCGTGAGCACGGCGCTCTTCGAGCAGCTGGACTACATGGAGAAGACGCTGGCGAACCTCGTCGGCTTCACGGAGCCGCGCACGCCCATCGTCGTACACGTCGGCGCCAAGGTTGCCCAGAAGCACTACGAATCGCTCGTGCGGCGCCACGCCAGCGACCGCGTGCATTTCAACCCGCGGCGCATCTGGACGCACCACGCGACGGGCACGATCCTGGAGGCCCACGTGTCCAACGCCGAGCGCGCGCGGGAAATCGAGCTTCCGTTCGACTACGTCGTCTTCAGCGCGTCCAAGGCGCGGCTCTTCGTGCGCGGGCTGGAAGCCTACGTCGTCGCCAATCAAATGACGCGCCTCAAGGACATTGCGGGCGGCCTGCACTGCGAGACGGACGCGGCGACGCGCCGCGCGTTCCTGTGGGACGCCGAGCATCGGGTCCGCGCGAAGGACCCGCACGGCTGGTACTTCGACGCGCTCCGCGCGAGCGCCGGCGACTGCCGGCCGGCCTTCTCGAACCACGAGGGCTTCTTCCTGCCCGCGCCGCTCCTCCTGCGCTTCGCGGACTGGGCGCGGGCGACGACGGCGACGATCCGCGGCAACGCGTCGTCCGTGCTCGACCACGCGGCGTCCGTCGTCGGCGCTTTGGGCGGTAACGGCGTCGAGGAGTTGTACCTGCAGAGTTATATCGCCACGCGCGAGCGGGACGCGCTGAATCGCACGGGCGCGGCGCTCTGCGAGCACTGGCCGCCGCGCCAGCGGCGCGTCGGCGTCTTCGACGCGCTCTCCTACCGCCTCGGCCGGAACATGTCGCGCCTCCTGGCGCCCTTGGAGATCAAGCGCTGGGCCGGCGACGACCGCGAGGACCGGGTGCTGGAGTGCTGGGCGCGCGAGGACCGCGGCGGCGCTCCGGACGACTCGGCGCGCGCGGCGCGGAGCACGCTCCGGTGCCTGCGGGCGGCGCACCTCGGCCACATGCTCCCGAAGAAGAACATGACCGGGGGCATGGACCGCGGCCGGCGTGCGGCCTTCTCGGTCCTGGGCGCCGACGACCCGTTCCCGGACACGGCGCGCACGGCCGCGGCTGTGCGCCGCTACTTCGCCTTCGACGAGCGCGCCGAGACCCCCGGCTAACCGCAAAAATCTTCCTCAAAGCGGCGTTTCGAATAGCTTCTGGTGGGCGGTGCAAGGGGCAGCCCCGGGTGCGGGAGTGGCCATGAAGCGGGGCCTGAGCCGGTCGCTGAGCACGCGCGACGACTCGACGACGCCGTCGAACTTGGTGGTGGGGTCGGCCCTCCTCGAGACGGGCAGCGAGCTCGCCGCGGGCGCCGGCGCGTCGGACATGATGTTTAGCAGCGCCGAGGCGCCCGTGCGCGCGCCGCTGGGCGCGGACGACGAGCTCGACGAGGACCCGGAGCTCGGTCCGGCGCCGGCGCAGCCGGACCCGCCGCGGAGCCCGTCGGCCGCGCGAAAGTTGTGGAAGACGGACCGCCACTCGCGGTCGCCCGCGCCCGTGCAGTACCTCACGGAGCAGGACCTGATCCCCCAGTCCCCGCGCGACGAGGAGGACGCGCCGAGCTGCTGGTTCTGCGGCATCACCGCCGGCTGCTTCCGCGAGGACGCGAAGCCCGCGTCGGACGCCGACGAGTACTGGACGCTGTCGTCGCTCCTCACGACGGACACGCCCCCGACGAGGTGAACTCGGGACGTTCGAATGTGCGCGCCGGTTTCCCTTCTAAGGGGTCCCCCCCGGCCTCCTAGGGCGACGGGGGCGGCGCGCGTCGGCGGTCGTCGTCGGAGAGGAGGGAGAAGAGGACGCCGTCGTCGCGGCCCTTGTGCGTGCCCGACTCCGCGTGGAAGTCGCGGCCGCCGAAGACGAGGACGCCCAGGTCCCAGGCGCCGCGGGCGTCGCGCAGGGGCACGAGCGCGGCGACGTGGCCGCCGCGCGGCGACGGCAGCCGGTGCTCGAGCGCCGCGAGCTCCCACGTCGACGGCGCGTCCTCTCCGACGTCGCCGTCTTCTTTTTTCCGCAGCACGTAGCAGTCGTCGAGGTCCTCCTCGTGGGGCGACCCGAGGTCCTGGGGCAGCCAGGCGCGCTGGATGCCGCCGCCGCAGAGGAGGACGCGGTCCGGCCCGAGGCGCACCGCCGCGTGGCCGCCGCGCGGCGGCCACTCGACGCCGCCGACCTTGAGTTCCGCCCAGCGCACGTGCGTCTCCCCCAGGACATGCTCGGAGACGTCGAGCGTGTGCACGCGCGACGAGCTGTAGGTCAGCGAGATGCCCCGGCCCGTCTCGAGCTCCTCGGCCGAGATCGACGGCGCGAACGTGTAGCCGCCGGCGACGACGAAGGACGCGCCGCCCGGGAGCGGCGTGCAGGAGTGGCGGTAGCAGGGCGGCGGCGGCGCCCCCGCGAGCACGTAGGGCACCATCTCGGACCCGCGCTCCAGCAGCTGCACGTCGTTGTACGCGCGGAACCGCTGCTCGAGGTCCTCCGCGCCGCCGAAGAGCACGAGGACGTCGGAGGTCCCGAGCCGCGCGGCGCTGTGGCCGAAGGCGCGCCAGAGCTCGCCGCGCGCGCCGCCCGGCGACCGCGGCGCGAGGCGCTCCGCGACGCGCGTCCACGCTTGAGGCGGCTTCAGGTCGAGGCGGTGCACGTCGCCGAAGGCGCGCGCGGCGTCGCCGCCGCCGACGACGTACATGGCGTCGCCGACGAGGGTCGCGCTGTGGGCCCGCCGCGGCGCCGGCGCCTCGCCCGCGGGCTCGAGCTTCGTCCACGCGCCCGTCGCGCAGTCCAAACGCCACGCGTCGTTTCGGTACGTCGCCTCGTCGCGGCCGCCGAAGACGACGAGCCCGCCGGCGTGGGCCACGCAGGAGTGGGCGAAGCGCCGCTCGGGCGCGGACGGCGTCGCCTGGGGCCGCTCCGCGGCGAACGCGCCCGCGCGCGCGGCGCGGCGCGCGGCGCAGCTCGACCGCGGCGGCGCCGCGCGGCCCGCGGCCGGGCGCAGGGCCGGCGCGAAGAGCGCCACGCAGCGGCTCCGGTGGCAGACCCGCGCCCCGTCGGCGAAGGTCCGGTTGCAGGCGCAGAGATGCTCGAGCGCGGCCTCGTCGACGAAGTCGAGGACGCAGGCCGCGAACCAGGTCTTGTGCCAGAGGTCGTGGTGGACGGGCTCGTCGTCGTCCTTGTCCGTGAGGTCGTCGTCGATGACCATGCTCACGGGGCCCGAAATGGCGTCGAAGAGGGCCATGCTCCCGGCGCGCGGGTCGGCTTCTCGCGCTTCGGGCGCCACAGGTCGTCGGCCGAGCCCAAAGTGGACCCGGCGGTTCAACATTGACCTTGTCTGAGGAACGTGCCGGCAACGCGCGCGCGCGGACGGGCCTCTGTGATCGGTCGCGCTCGGTGCGCAGGGCGCGCTCGCCGGCAGCGGCGCACTCGCTCGCAAAGCTGTCTTAATTAAAAAAAGCCACCCGCTTGAGCACGGAGGCCCTCAGACGCGCTCAATGTCCGACAGGCTGTTCAGTTTGAGAGCACATCCAGCCCGCCAAGCTGGGCATAATGAATAGCCGGAATACGACCCTCCGGCAAACCACGAAGATAAGCAGCCAGCTGCGCCTCTGACTGCACCACCCAATTATGGCTGCAGAACTCAGGCTCGTGCCTCCGAGTCTTATACCGACGAGAAGCTCCGCGTCTGCATCGGCGCCAGCGTCTGCGAGGTCGTCCTCGACTCCTTCGCGGTGCTCACGGCGAGCGGCAAGAAGGACGACACGGCGAACGGCAAGATCATGCGGCTGACGAATGAAGTGGAGCTGGACATCCAGGGGGCCGCGCTGTTCCGGCGCGTGACGTCGTCCCATCAGAGCATGACGACGCGTGAACTTCACCCGCGGATCCGGGACGAGCGCGACGCCAGCGTCCGGGCGATCGCGCGCGCCGCCGCACGCGCAGAGAGCTCAGCCGACTAGGCCTCCGACTCGTCGGAGGGGCCCCTAGGCAACGCGCGGTCCCGGGGACGCCGCCGGGACGCCGGGACGCGGGATCCGGGACGCGGCGGGACGCGAGCCCGACGCGCCCGGACCGGCCCGGGACGCGCCCGGGACGCGGGACGCGGCCGGGACGCGGCCCGGACGCCGGCCGCCGGACGCGCGGGACGCGACTTCCGGGAGGCGGCCGAGACGCTGCGGAACGCGGCCGAGACCGGCGGCGGACGGAGCAAAGGACGCCGGGACCGCGCGTTGCCTAGGGGCCCCTCGTCGGATCCGGAGGCTCGTCGGAGTCGAGGCGCCCGACCCCCGGCGACGATCATCTTCCGCCGACGAGCCGTAGCATGGCCGCCACCTTTGCGGCCGCCGTCCGCGGCGCCGCCCGCAGCGCCCGCAGCGCGCGCGCTGCGTCATTCGCCGCCGCGCAACGAGCCGCGTCCACCCACAGCCGCGGCTGGTACGAGAAGTACCGGCGCGAGGGCCCCGAGGGCTTCCGCGTGGGCACGGCCCCGGCGCCCTTCGACTTCGACGCCGCGCCCGCCGAGGTCGCCGCGGCGCGGTCGCGGTGCTTCTTCGACGTCGCCGTCGACGGCGAAGCCGCCGGCCGCATCGAGCTCGAGCTCCTCGACGAGCTGTTGCCGGAGACGTGCGAGAACTTTCGGCTCCTCTGCGGCGACGGCGCGCCGTCGGGCTTCGGCTACGCGGGCGCGAACCTCGCGCGGCGCGTCGTCAAGGGCGTGGGCCTCCTCGGCGGCGTCGTCGACGCGCCCGGCGGGTCCCACAGCGCCTTCGCGGGGCGCCGCGTCTTCGCGGACGAGGGCTTCTTCGTTCCGCACGCGGAGCCGGGCCTGCTGTCGATGGCCAACGCGGGCGTCGACACGAACGGCTCCCAGTTCTACCTCACGACGGCCGCCGCGCCCCACATGGACGGCCGCTGCGTCGCCTTCGGCCGCGTCGCCGCGGGCCTCGACGTCGTCCAGACGCTCGCGGACACGCTCTACACGCAGCGCGGCGTGCCCGTGGAGCACGTGGAAATCGCCGCCTGCGGGACGCTCTAGCTCGGTTTTAACTTACTTCTCGAAGGGCACGCCGTTGATGGCCGCGACGCCGCCCGGCCGCTCCTTGTAGGCGTCGCCGGGGAGCGCGAACTGGGGCACGACGTAGGGCAGGTTCACGAGGAGGTCCTGGACGGCGATGGGGTCCACGGCGACGTTCGGCGTCCGCGCGAGGCGCCGGAACTCGGCCACGAAGGCGAGGCAGAGCGCCGCGCGCGCGACCGGTTCTTTGACGGGGTCGAAGCGCGCCTTCAGGTCCGCGCGCGCCTTCGCGTCGCGGCCCTTGGCCGCGAGCATGGGCCCCACGAGCCCGTTGGCCGCGTCCTCGGACGCGTAGGCCACGCGGCCGTGGCGCAGGTCCTTGGCCGCGCACGCCGCGTCCAACGCGACGCGCACCTTCTCGACGCGGTGCAGTTGGGGGAAATCGCCGTTCGTCGCCAGCGTCACGGGCAGCGTCGCGCCCGCGGCGACGCGCACGGGCGTCGGGAGCACGTAGACGGGCCGCCCCCAGTGCCAGCCGTCGCAGGTCCGCGAGTCGTACGTCTCCGCGTCGTCCATGTCCAGATCGAAGTGGAGCGCGATCGCGGTCACGACCGCGTCGCGCTGCGCCGTGAAGACGAGCTCGCAGACCCCCGGCCGCGCGTCCTCGGGCCAGCGGAAGTCGAAGTCGAAGGCCGGCTGCGGCGGCGCGACGTCGACGACGTCCTCGTCGAGGAGCACGGACGAGTAGACGTCGTCGGCCGCGCCCATGGCCCGGTGCAGGCAGACGAGGGACCCGTAGTCGACGCCGCCGGCGCCCTTGCGCGCGGGCCACTCGACGGGCGTCGCGTGGATCGCGCCGCGCGCGGGGACGACGTCCGCGTCGTCGGTCAGCAGCCGCTCCGTCGCGTCGACGAACGTCGACACGCAGCCCTCCTCCAACAACGCCTGGCCGAAGATCTCCGACACGAGCACGTCGGCGCGCCGCGGCAGCGCCGACCGGCCGTGCGCGGGCCCCGCGTCGTCGTCGTCGGACGACGCGTCGTCGTCGTCGCGGACGTCGTACTCGTCGTCCTCGACGTAGAGCGCCGACGAGTGGCGGCTCACGACGCGCACGCCGTCGACCTCGACGTCCAGCGCGCCGTCGTCGTCGGCCGGGGACCGCGGCGCCACGCGCGCCTCCTCGCCGCCGAGGTTGTCCAGCACGCACGACACCGCCGCCGCCGCGACGGACGGCTGCGCCTCGACGGCGACGCAGGACGCCGCGCCCGCGCGCTTCGCCGCGAGCGACAGCAACCCGCTGCCGGCGCCGATGTCGAGCACGTGAACCTCCTCGTCGGCCTCGCCGCGGCGCCGCTTCGCCGCGCGCGCGACCGCGCGCTCGATGGCCCTGGCGAAGCACGCGTTCCGCGGCTCGTCCGCGAGCATGGGCCAGTGCCAGCGGGGCACGTCGAGGCGGTCGTTGTTCGCCGGGTTAATGTTCGTGAAGGCCTCCTCGCCGTCGAGGGCCAGGGACCGCACCTCGAGGCCGTCGAGGAACCCGTCGCACGCGACCTCGAGCGACGCTTTTTCGCCCGCGTCGACGGCGACGCGCCCGCCCGGCAGGGGGATGACCGTGTAGCGCCAGGGCCGCTCGCCGGCCTTGCGGTCGCCCCGGTCGTCGCGGACCATGGGCGGCGGCTTCGTCTCGAGGACGACGCCGTCGCCGTAATCGAGCCGCAGCCAGCACGCCGCGCACGCGACGCCGCCAAGCACCGTCGTCGTCGCCTCGGCGACGGTCACCGTGCGCCCCCCGGCGTCCTCGGCGGCGGCGATCGTCGCGGCCGCGGACCAGGTCCGCAGCGCGAAGGGCCGCGACGCCTCGCGCCAGCACGCCTCCGTCGCGCGGAGCGACTCGCGCGGCAGGTCGCAGCGCAGGCGCCGGTCGAAGGCGCTGCAGTCGAACCCCGCGCAGGCGTCCGAGTCCCGCGCCGCGAGCACGCCGACGACCTGGACGGTCCTCGGCGCCACGGGCGTCGCCGCGTTCGCGAGGCCCGCGCGCGCGAGCGCGGCGAGCCGCCGCAGGGCCTCGGGCTCGGAGGTCCACCTCGTGGCCGCCGCCCGCGTAGATTTCGACGTCGACGCCGTTCTCTTTGGCCAGCTTCGCGGCGCAGCCCGCGCCGACGGCGCCGCGCGGCCAGGCGACGACGCGCACGGCCTCGCCGGCGCCGCGCTCCGCGCCGAGGGCCACGGCGACGGCGCCCGCGCCGACGCCGCCGACGACGAGGATCGGCGCGTCGCCGTCGCGGAGCGCCGCGCCCATGGACGCGCCGACGGCGTCGAGCGCCGCGAGGCGGTCCGGGTAGCACGAGAACACGAAGGACCGCAGGGGCAGCGCCACCTCCGACGCCGCCCGGGCGACCTCGAGGGCCAGCGCCGCGTCCGCGGCGCCGAGGGCCGTCGCCTCCGCGGCGTCGACGACGGCGACGGCGGCCTCGCGCTCGACGGCGAGCTCCTCGAGCTCCCGCGCGAGGAACGCGTCCATGGGCGGCTCCGGGATCGCGATCTGCTCGAACGACGCGTCCATGCTGGGCGGCTCCGGCGGCGGCGATGGCTCCTCCTCCTCGGGCGCTTCCTCCGCTCGCGGCTCCGGCTCCTCCTCGGGCGCCGCCGCCGCCGCGGGCGCGTCGGTCACCGTCAAGAGCTCGCCGTCCGCGATCTGGTCGAGCAGCGGCCGCGCCAGGTCCACGGCGCTCCCATCCTCCGCGCGGCAGAGCCGGGCGCCCTCCGTGTCCAGCAGCGTCTGCTTCGCGTAGGCGGCGAGGACCTTGGCGCCGGACGTCCTCGCTTTCAGCTGGAAGATGAGCGCCGTCGAGTCGCGCTCCGAGGTCACCTTGACGGCCGGCATCGTTGGCGCGCGCGGTGTCCAAAGACCACTTGGTGGAGGGCGGCGAGAGCAGCCCTTCTCCCACACGGAAGAGGCTTTTCAATTACGGGGGCACTTGCCGTTCATCGGGGTAAAGTTACCGGAGGCGGAGTATACGTAACGGCGGCACTAGGTGTTCCCGTACGGACCGACGTCGCCGCACACGGCTCTAGCACACGGCGGCCTCGAGTTCGTCGCCAAAGTCCGCGAGGCACGATTCGGCCGTGTGGTCATCGTCGTCGTCGCCGCACGCCTCGGGGCAGGCGTAGGACGCGCGCACGCCCGCGTCGTCCTTCTTGCCGCAGCGCGCGGAGGGGCTCCTCGCGATCCAGTCACAGGAGTTCTTGGGCTTGCCGTTGGCGTACCAGCTCTCGCTGTCGCTCGTGGCGTCGCAGAGGCCGCAGGCGTAGGGGCACGCCTCGTAGCCCATGACCTTGTCGTGGCTCTTCTTCTTGCAGCGCGACGGGTCCTCGAAGAGCTTCGCGCAGCCCTTGCCGCTCCCGTAGAACCAGGACGACGAGTCGCCGCAGGCGTCGTCGTCGTAGCCGTCGTCGGTCCACGGATCGTCGGTCGGCATCGCCATCGTGGGAGAGGGCACCGGGGGATCCCACGTCGTCGGCGCGGGCACCGGATCGCCCGCGGAGCAGGACGCGACGATGTCGTCGACGGGGAAAGAGTCGTAATACGCGAACGAGCCCACCGTCATGCATATGTCGTAATCCGTGACGTAGTAGGCGCCGCGGCGCAGCGCGTAGGCGAGGTAGTAGTTGCCGCTCTGGGTCACGTAGGAGCAGTAGCCCTCGCAGCAGCTGCCGGCGACGCGCGTCCAGGGCTCCTCGCCGAAGTCGGCCCAGGTGTAGGTGTTCGAGAGGCCCGCGATCTCGGCGCAGCAGCTGCCGGCCTCGGTGCACCCTTCTTCGACCGACGACGGCGCCCAGGTCACGACGGCATTGCCGCCCGTGGCGGTGAGCGTGACGCTCGCGCCGTCGAAGTCGACGCGGACCGGGTACGACTCGCCGGGCGTGCTCGAGAGGTCGACGTAGCACGAGTCGACGAGCTGCGCGTCGTCGAAGCCGAGGTCCCAGCCGTCCACCGTCGTCGGCGTGCAGTCCACGAGCACGGTGTTGGACACGTAGCCCGTGTAGCCGTAGGTCTCGTCGACGGACGCCCACGACAGCAGCACGCCCGGCGTCGGGTACTGGCGCCGCTCGAGGAAGAAGTACGTGTCGGCGGCCTGGGCCGGGATGCGCAGCGCGAGGTAGCCCTCCGCGTCCGCGGACATGTCGTTCGGGTCGCCGCCGGAGACGTCGTCGTAGAGGTCGAGCGCGTAGGGCCCGCAGGAGTCGGCGCAGACCGTGTCGCCCCCGGCGAAGTCGTAGACGTCGACCGTGGCGGCCTTGGCCTCGTCGACCCAGTCGAAGACGAGCTTGTTGGCGGCCATGAACTGGCCCGCGAGCCCCAGGTCGACCTCGAACCAGGCCTGGCCCATCGTCGTGAAGGGGCTCCCGTACTCGACCCAGGAGCCCTCGTCGTCCTGGTACGCGACGGCGCCGCGCTCGCCGCCGGTCATGTAGCTCGCGTGGGACGCGCCAAAGTTGTGGCCGAGCTCGTGGACGAAGGCGTTGTCGTAGTTCGCGGCGTAGGCGTTGCAGATGAGGCCCGGGTAGCCGACCCACCCCGCGCCGGCCCAGCCGACGTCGCCGCACCAGGGGATCACGAGCGCGACGAAGTCGTAGTCGTCGGGGGTCACGCCCGTCGCCGCGTAGGCGCGCGTGTCGTAGGCGTCGGGGTCCTGCGTGTAGTAGCCCAGGTTGGTCAAGCTCGCGCACTCCGCGACCGTCACGTCGAGCTCGACGAAGAGCGGCGCGTCGCCGCCGTGGAAGCTCCAGTCGAGCCAGGCGCGCCCGTAGGACGCGGCCTGGAGGAAGGCGTCGCTCGCGTCCATGACGGACGTCCACCAGTCGAAGACGTCGGAGCCGTGGTCCGTCGCGACGAGGCCGAAGTCGTACTGGTCCTCGCAGCTCCCGGCCTCGCCGGAGAAGCAGATCACCATGACCAACACGTTGAGCGCGCCCGTGGCGTAGGCCGTCACGATGTCCTCGGCCGCGACCCAGGGCTGCGCGAGCTCGTCGACCATCAGGGGCTTCATGTCGCCCACGGCGAAGAACCGCTCCGACGGGCCCGGGCTCGTCGGGAGCTTCCGCGCGCGCAGGTGCCGCGCGACGGCCGCGACGTGGGCCGCGCTGTCGAAGCGGTGCTCGCCGCCGTTCGGCCCGGCGCAGGCGAACGCGCCGTCCCGCGCCTCGCACGCGATCGGGCTCTCGGCGGCGTAGAAGGCGCCGTCGAGCGCGAAGCCGGCGACGGGGGTCCGCTTCGCGGCCGGGTGGAGCCGGCGCAGGCCCGGCGCGAGGCGCAGCGGGTCGCCGCCGTCGATGCTGATGCGCCGCGTCGTGTTCGCCGTCGCGGACGGGTCCGTCCGGTCGGCGGGGCTCGCGACTTTCGTGAAGACGTCCGCGAGGCCGGCCGCGGCGGTCTCGGTCTCGCAGGCCGCGGGCAGCCGCCGCCGCGTGTGCGCGGTGAGGGACCGCGACAGGTCCATGGCCGCGGCGATCTTTTCCTCGGCGATCAGCCCTTTGAGCGCCGCCAGGCGCTGCGAGCACGCATCGATGAGTCGGTCGTCGTCGGCGGCCTCGAGGTGGCGCAGGAGCCGCGCGTGGGCCGGGTGGTGCTCGTCGGGGGGCAGCAGGCCGTGGGGCAGCGCCGGCGCCGCCGACACGAGGGGCAGCGCCCAGAACGCCCACAGAAGAAGGCGTGCCATCACCGAGCCCCGGGGAGATCGCAAGTTACGGTGAGCACGGGTAGGGATTTTCTCAGGTAGCGATTTCTCAGGTAGCGGATTTTCTCAGTTTTAGATGAGTTCAACATTGCATCTCAATCTTGCCCAGCTTCCGCTCAGTCTGTGACGACTCGCGTCCATCGAGTTGCGCGCGTGCACCGCCGCTCCTCGCACAAGTGCACCGCCGCTCCTCGCACAAGTCGCAGCAAGTCGCAACAACCATGGCGACGACGGCGCGGCTCTGGAAGAAGCTCGCGGCGGCGCAGGTGACGAAGACGACGCCGCGCGTCGTCAGCAGCGGCCAGGGCGCCTACCTGACGATTGGTGGCAAAGACTACCTCAACTTCTGCTCGTCGCACTACCTGGGCTTCGCCGAGGAGCCGCGGCTGAAGAAGGCGGCCCAGGACGCCATCGAGAAGTACGGCCTCGGCACGGGCTACCGCACTTTGAGCGGCACGCACGCGAGCCACGTCGCGCTCGAGAAGGCCATCGCCGAGTTCAAGGGCACGGAGGCGGCCGTCTGCTTCACGAGCGCCTACGCGGCCAACGCGTCCGCCGTCCAGACGCTGCTGGGCAAGGACGACATCGTCGTCAGCGACCAGCTCAACCACGCGTCCATCATCGACGCCGTCCGCGTCGCGGGCGTCAAGAACAAGTTCGCCTACAAGCACAGCGACATGGGCGACCTCGAGGCCAAGTTACAATTGGCCCAGGAGCTCCAGAAGACGCCCAAGCCCGACGGCGAGCACCCGCTGATCCTCATCATCACGGACGGCGTCTTCAGCATGGACGGCGACCTGGCGAAGCTCCCGGAGATCGTCGATCTAGCGAAACAGTACGACGCGCTGACCATGGTCGACGACGCCCACGGCGAGGGCGTGCTGGGCGCGGGCGGCCGCGGCGTCGTGAACCACTTTGGGCTCGAGGGCGAGGTCGACATCGAGATCGGCTCGCTCTCGAAGGCCTTCTCGGTCATGGGCGGCTTCGTCGCCGCGAAGCAGCCGCTCATCGACCACTACCTCATGAACGCGCGCCAGCGCCTCATGTCCATCGCCCTCACGATCCCCGACACGGCGGCCCTCCTCGAGGCCGTGTCCATGCTCGGCGAGTCCACGACGCTCGTCGACAAGCTGTGGGGGAACGTCGACTACCTCAAGAAGGGCTTCGTCGACCTCGGCTTCGACATCGGCCACAGCGAGACGCCCATCATCCCCGTCATGATCGGCGACGAGGACAAGGCCCGCGCCTTCTCCCAGCGCCTCTTCGAGGAGGGCGTCTTCGCGTCGCCCATCGTCTTCCCCATGGTGCCCCGCGGCACGGCCCGCGTCCGCGTCATCGTCTCCGCGTCCTTCTCCCAGGACGACTGCGACGCGGGCCTCGCCGCCTTCAAGAAGGTCAACGAGGAGCTCAACGCCACCGCCGCGGCCGCCTAGGGGCGTCTCGGGCGTGTGGGCTAACGGTGTCCTTCAGCTTGCAGTGGTTTCGGCAAAGCGGGCTGCCGCCGCGCATTCCCCGACGCCATGCTGGGCAATCCGAACACAACCACACGCCATGGTCCTCCTCTGCAAGTGCGGCAGCGCCGACGTCGTCGAGCCCAAGCTCACGGGCGGCCGCGCGCCCGTCCCGGAGCTCATGGAGAGCGCCGCCCCGCCGGAGGACGACGGCGAGGAGGTCAAGGTGGAGAAGAAGAAGCGCAAGTCGTTGGTGAAGCGGGCCTACGAGGGCGCCAAGCAGTGTCGACGCATAGGTGCCTAGGTGCCTACGCGCCTACGTAGCCTCGTCCGGAACCTACGGAACTATGACCTACGCGCCGCCCACGCAGGCGCCAAGCGCCGGAGCGCCCAGAAATCCGAGGCGCTGCAATCCTGGGCCAACTCCGTGAGCGTGCAGACGCAGCACTTCATGGCGCTCCGCGGCTGGGTCGGCTCGATCACCGTCACCGTGGGCATGGGCGTCGTCAAGGTCGGCGTCACGCTCCCCGTGCGCGGCCGCGTCTACTTCTTCGAGAGCGGCGGCGCGCCCCTCTTCGGCGACTTCTCCAACCTCTTCGAGTGGGACGGCGAGGGCGAGGAGCCCGACAAGGCCGAGGAGAAGTCGAAGATCCCCAAGGCGCTGGAGCGCATGGCCGGCATGCTCGTCGGCGCGAAGCGAAGCTGGCCGGGCGGCTGCGTCGAGGGCGCCGCCGTGACGGTGTGCGTCGACCTGACCTGCTACGGCGTCGGCATCGAGATCGAGGCCGAGATCGACGTGTTCTCCATCGTCCTCCCGGAGGACCACTGCAGACGGCGGGCGCCGAGTTCTGGCTCTGCGGCTCGGGCGGCGTCGCCGCGGAATGGGGCGGGCGTTGAAGCGCGCCTGTAAGGGCGTTCTTTTTGAGGCCTTGGGTCCGGAGGTTCCCGCGGACGCGCGCGCGCGCCGGCGCGCGGGGCCGTTGAGGTCGTCGGTGTCGTCGATGTTGACCCGAAGGCACTGGGTGACGACGCGAGCTCGGTCGAAGTCGAAGTGCTCGTCGAGCGGATCGGCACGTCGAATCGACACCACCGACGGCGTAGACGAGCATGCTCGCGAAGCTCGCGCGCCTGAACGCGCCGCGCGTCGCCGCGCGCGCCGCTGCGCCGCGCGCCCTCTTCTCGTCGGACAGCGTCGTGGACACCATCACGCTCACGCAGAAGCGGTCCGCCGTGCTGCGGAATGCGTCCGACGCGGACCTCGAGGCGACGAAGAAGGCCATCGCCAACGAGCAGAAGCGGCGGCAGTCGACGCTCATCATCGGCGCCGCGGGCGCCGTCGGCAAGCGGCTCTGCGCGGCGCTGACGCAGGCGGGCCACAAGGTCATCGCCACCGACCGGACGCCCGTGCTCCCCAAGGACCTGCGGGACTCCATCGGCGAGAAGGGCATCTGCATCGGCTCCGTCGACGTCACGGACGCCGAGGGTTTGGTCAAGCTCTTCGAGGAGCACGCGGACGCGAACACGTCCGTCTGGAACCTGGCGGCGCCGCTGTCGGTGGACACGGCGCTGAACCCCGCGATCGCCGAGGCCATCACCATCGGCGGCATGAAGAACGTGCTCGCCGCCATGGCCAAGGTCGGCGCGAAGAAGATCTGCTTCACGGACTCCATCGGGTCCTTCGGCGCGTCGAGCCCGCGCGTCGGCGCGTCGGCGCGCTGGCTCACGAAGAACCCGACGCAGGACCCCGGGTCCGACTACGGCCTCCAGAAGCGGGGCTGCCGCGAGCTCATGGCGGACTTCGCGAAGAAGCACAACGGCGACCCGCGCTTCGCCGTGCTGCCCGGCGTGCTCCACTCGAACTCCGTCTGGGGCAACGGCACGACGGAGTACGCGCTCGACGCGCTCCTGTCCGCGCCGCACCAGGCGACGACGCTGGGCCTGCCGACGGGCGAGTCCTACACCTGCCCCGTGGACCCCGACGTGCGCATGCCCATGGTCTTCGTCGACGATTTGATGCGCGGGCTCGTCGCGCTGCAGGAGGCGGAGCCGGACGTGCTCGCGGAGCCCGAGAACGGCTACTGCATCCCGGGCCTGAGCTTCTCCGCCAACGAGCTCTTCTCCGAGATCCGCAAGCACTACCCGGGCTTCGGGTTCCGCGTACAGCTCGACGCGAACATGGACAAGTTCGCGAAGCTCTGGCCCGACGAGCTCGCGACGGAGGAGCCGCTCCGCGACCTCGGCTACAAGCCCGAGGTCGGCCTCGAGGAGATGGTCGCCACGGTCCTCAAGTCCCACCAGGACCGCAACGAGATCACGGCCAAGGACTTCATGGCCATCGACCACGACGGCGACGGCGTCGTCACGCGCGACGACATCGAGCAGCACATCTCCAAGTTCCTCGTCGAGGGCCGCCACAGCGACAACGCGACGGACGACGAGGACGTGAAGCGCGCCGTCGACGACTTCATGCTCGGCGAGATGCACGACACGGACGGCAGGATCTCCTGGGAGAAGTTCTCCGAGTGGACGCGCCACCACGACTTCGGCGACTTCGTCCGCAAGTCCCTGCACCGCTGAGCGGCGCCTCGATCGAAGGCGCCGTGCGAAAAATCTAATGAGTCGCCGACCCTAAGCGCGCCGCGAGTCCGAGACTAGTCGAGAATCAGGTTAGTGCGTCGCGCGCGGACCGGTGACGTGCCCGCGCGGTGCCGTGCGGATGCAAGAAGGGGGCGCCCGTGCGGTAGCCGCCGGTGCCCTAGGTCGAGGCGGCGGCGGGGGCGCTCATCGGCCAGCCCCAAGCCGAGCCTGCCGTCACCTTCGGCGAGCGTCCGGTGCTGTGGCGCGGCCGGCTCAGTGGCGAGGCGAAGCGAGCCACCTCACCATGGGACTGCTCATCGGCCCACGCAGCACGCGAAGGCCGGCGCGGCGGCGGGTCGCGCCGGCGGGTCGTGCCAGGGCTCGGGCGCGAAGGCCTGATGCACGTCGCGATGCACGGACGTCGGCGACAGCTTGCACGACTCCATGCTCGACGCGAGGCTCTCCGAGGAGGCGATGGACGACGGCGCGCGGCCGTCGTCCATGGCGTGGTCGCTCGGCAGGTGGCGGCACACCGTCTCCGGCGTCGCCCCGACCGCGGACGGGACGCACGGACGGAACGACGTCCACGGGCAGCAGCTTCTGCAATACGCCGCGTCCTGGAAATAGTAGACCGTCTCGTGCTTCAAGCTCGACGAGCACGCATCACAGTACTTGGTGCAGTCCATTGCGGCGACGAAGTTGATGCGATGACGATGCCGATTGCAATGGGGATTGCGACGGGCGATGCCGGTGGTTCTTGCTGCGACTGCCGGTGGCAATGCGGAAGGCAATGCGGATGGCAATGGGCGCGGTGGCGTTGCTACTGGTTGCACCGAACGTCGTGGCCGGCGGCCGTGGTCGTGGCGCTTGTACTACGCTTGGATCGTCTGAGTCGAATGAATTCAAGGGAATGCGCTGGCCGTGTTCCGCGTGCCAGCGTGCCACGACTGGTAGACCCGGGCGAGAATACGAAAGTTAGTCTGCACTTTAGCGCGTGCACCTCTGTGGCATCCGAGACTATTCCGCTTCGCCTCAGGTCTTAGGCTACTCTGACTCTGTACATGTATGACGGAATCAGCCTATCTAACCTTCTCCAGCACCGAAACCCGCGGCGCGGCGCCGACTTTCCCCAGCAACGCCACCAACCTCAACGCCACCCTTACGCCCCCCCGGGCGCCACGGGCCGGTAGCTCGCGTCCGGCGGCCGGCATTTGAAGGGCCGGTCGCCGAGGTTGATGGTGCAGACGAAGCCGTAGCCGCCCGTGAGCGCGGGCACGAGGCCGTCCGACGGCACGGCGATGTTTGGGAACGCCGTCGCGTCCGCCGCGGCCCAGTCGCCGTTGACCGCGAAGCGCAGGTCGCCCGTGGCGAGGTCCGCCGCCGCCGTGACGACGTCGCCGTCCTTCCACTTGGCCGTCGCGTAGGGCCGGTCGCCGTCGTGCCACTTCTTGGCCCGGATCCCGTCGACGCCCCAGGACAGCTTGTCGTCGCCGACGCCGTCGCCGGACTCGACGTCCGTCTCGTGGACCGCGCCGAGCCAGCCCAGCTGGACGACGCCGACGCAGGTGCCGATGACGACCTCGTAGTAGACCCGCGCGCCCACGGGCGCGCGCGCGTCGAGCGCGCAGACCGTGTTGAATCCCACGAACGCGCACGTCTGGTCCTCGCCCACGAGGCACTGCGTCGGCCGGCCGCGGACCCGCGCGACGGCGCTCCGCCCCGCGCGCTTCTGCGCCGTGGCGCCGGCGGCCTCCACCGCGGCGAAGCGCGCCGTCGCCCACGCCGCGAGCGCGCCGTCGCCGCCGGCGAGCGCGTCCGCGTCGACGGCGGCGGACGCGCCCGGCGCCTCCGGCGCGGTCGCCGCGCGCCGCCGCCGCGACGGGTCCCGGTTCTCCAGCTCGGCGTCGTTGGCGAAGAGGCGGTGCGCGGGCGCCGCGCCGCGCTTGAGCAAGGCGCGCGCGACGGCCGCGTGCCCGCCCGCGACCGCGTGCACGAGCGCGGGCACGCCGCAGGCGTCGCCGCGGTCCACGCGGTCCAACGCGTGGTCCCGCTGGTCCAGGTGCTTCAGCAGCAGATGCACGACCGCCAGGTGGCCGTGCTGCGCCGCGAGGTGTAAGGCGTCGCGGCCGTCGAGCGCCGCGCGGTCGCAGTCCGCGCCCGCGCGTAGCAAATCGGCGGCGATCTTCGCGTCGCCGCTCTCCGCGGAGATCATGAGCGCCGTCCGCCCCAGGTCGTCGGCCTGGTGCACGACGGCCGGCGCGTGGTCCACGAGCGTCTTCGCGATCGCGCCGTTCGACCCGTAGCACGCGTTCATCAGCGCCGTGCACCCGTCGTCCTCGGACCGCGTCGCGTCCGCGCCGTGCTCCAAGAGCACCTCCACGACGGCCGCGTGGCCGCAGAGGCAGGCGATGGCCAGCGCCGTGTCGCCGTTGCGGTCGCCGCGCTCGACGTCGACGCCGCGCTCCAAAAGCAGCCGCGCGGCCGCGTCGCGGCCCTGCGACGCCGCGCACATCAAGGCCGTGTACCCCGACGCGTCGCCCGCCTCCGGGTCCGCGCCGTGGTGGAGCAGCAGCGCCACGACTCTTGAATCGCCGACGCAGGCCGCGGCCATGAGCGCGGACCAGCCGTCGCTGAGCTTGCTCTCGACGTCCGCGCCCCGCCGCAGGCAGAGCCCGACGACGTCCGCGTGGCCGTAGTTGCAGGCCGCGATCAAAGCCGTGTAGCCGTCCTGCGTCGCCGCGGACACGTCGGCGTCGGCCTCGCCGAGCAGGAGCGCCGCGACGTCCGCGTGGCCGTCCTTGGAGCACGCCATCAGCGCCGTGTAGCCCTCGCGCGTCCGCGCGCCCACCCTGGCCCCGTGGCGCACGAGCAAATCGCAGACGTCCGCGTGGCCGTTCTGCGCCGCGAGCATGAGCGCCGTCCAGCCCTCGTCGTCGCTGAACGTCGCGTCCGCGCCGTGGTCGAGCAACGCCTCCGCGACGTCCGCGAACCCCGAGAACGCCGCGGCCTGTAGAGCCGTGTTGCCCACGAACCCGGACACCAACGGCCGCACGAGGGCGTGGGCCGCCAGCAGCCGCACGGCCGCCGCGTTGTTGCCCTTGCCCGCCCAGCGCACGGCGTCGACGCCGCGCGCGTCGAAGCGCGTCGGGTGCTCGCAGCGAGCCAACAGCGCCGCGACGCAGTCGACGCGCCGCGGGTCCTGCACGGCGACGTGCAACGGCCCGGAAGGTAGGTTCAACCCGTCGGGGTCGCAGCCGTAGGTGTCCACGAGCACCTTGACCGTCTCGGGCCGGTTCGACCGGCACGCGGCCGCCAAGCAGAGGAAGCCGACCTCGCGCTGGTCCTCGACGCGCTCCGCGTGGAAGAGGCGCTTCATGGGCGCCAAACTCTTCTTCGCCTCCGTGCCCGCGTAACTGCCGCACAAATTCACCAAAGCCTTCACGGCGTCCGACGACGCCGCGAGCCGCGAATCGAACCAGTCGTCCGCGGCGACGCGGTCGAGCGCGCGCGTCGTCGCCGCGCGCTCGTCCGGCAGCAGCGTCGCCGCCTGGGCGAGCACGGACGCCTGGTGGCCCGTCGCGCAGCACGTGTACTTGGAGCAGCCGAACTTGGAGAGCACGGCCGCGCACGCCGCGCGGCCCGCGCGCGCGGCCCGGTGCACCGCGCCGTCCTGGCCCTCGGCGTCCACGGGCGTCACCAGGTCGACGCCCCGCTTGCCCAGCCCGTCCAGGAACTCGACCTCGCCCTCCGCCGCCGCGAGGCGAAACAGGGCGGCGACGCCGCAGGCGTCCGCGCGGCGCACGCGCCAGCGGATGACCTTGACGGGGTCCGCGTTCGCCTGGGCAGGAAAAGGGTGATTCAACGTCGCTTCAACTTGAGTGTTCCGCGCGCGCGCGTTCCGGAAAAAGCATCCATGCTTCGAGACCGTTCCGAGAGATGATCGCTCGTCCAAAAATCAGCCGAAACGAGTGGAAAACGACCGAGATCGGAGCCTTTGAAGTTGGGAATTTCGCACTCTTTTCCTGCCCCGGCGTTCGCCGCGGCCCGGTACGCGTCGGAGCCCTTGGGCACGCCGGCTGTTGATAACTTCACAACCACGTGCGAGCTCAGCGGCCCGAAGGGCCGCCGGTCCGCGACGTCCGGCGCCGCGTCGACGACGACGGCCGCCTTCATCGTCACGCCGCCGTGCTCCTCGCAGACGTGGACGCCGTCGCCGTCCGACAGCGGCGTCGCGCGCCGCGCGAGCGCGTCGAGGCACTTGTCGCGGTCCTGTTGCGTGTCTAACGCAGCGAAGGCCAGCAGCGCCGGCAGGCGCCAGGCCGGCGGCGGGCCCCGGGGGGCGCGGTGCTCGAGGAGCGCGGCGGCCGTGCGGAATCGGCTCGCCAAAGCCGCCGCGACCCACGGGTGCGCGAAGGCCGCCGCCGACTCGGACGCCTTCACGAGCGGCGGGAGGTCCCCAGCCAGCGCCAGCGCGAAGAGCGCCGCGCCGTCGAGGGCCGCGCGCGCCGTGCCGCGCGCCGCGCGGTCGCGCGTCTCGCCGCGCGGCGCCGCGCGCGCCGCGGCCTCGAAGTCGTCGACGTCCACGCGCTGGTCCGGCGCGTCCAACGCCCGCGCGGCCAACGCCACCAAGAACCGGCCCACGTCCTTGCCGCCGCAGTTGCCGAGCTTTTTCGATAAAGCCGCCGCGGCCGCGTCGAGGCACGCGCCGAGCGCGGCGCCCGCGCCCCGGAGCGGCGACGCGCAGAGCCGGTGCCGGCGGCTCTCCGCCTCGAGGCGCCGCGCGAGCCGCCGGCACCGCGCCGACGAGCCCAGGCCCGACGTGTCGATGATGACCAACCCGGCCTCGGCGAGCGGATCCGTCCGCGCGCCCGCGGCGACTTCCGCGACGACGCCCGGCGCCTCGCCCGCGCGCCGGTAGAGCGGCGCGCCGGGGTCGCGCTTCAGGCGCACGTGCGCGCGCCCGCCGGGGCACGCGCCCTTCTCGCCCGCGAAGAGCACGACGAGCGACCCGGCGCGCGCGGCGCGCCGCAGCGGCCGCCGCAGCGGGTGCGCCGCTAAAACCGCGGCGAGCGGCGCCGCCTCCTCTTTTGCGGTGAGCGTGAGCGAGATGGGCGACAGGCCCACGGCGCGTTTCGCGCCGCCGCTCACGGCCTCGAGGCGGTCGAGCACGTCGACGCCGACGAAGCCGCAGAGCTCGGACGCGAAGTTGAGGCCGCCGGCGTCGAACTCCAGGAGGTGGACGAGGCTGGGCGGCTGGTGCCGGGGCTTTTGGGCTCGCTTGGAACGCGAGGTCGGGCGCTGGGATGCCGCGCGCCCCTTGGGGCGGCTGGCTGACATCGGACGGCGCCGGCAGGCGGCGTGATTCGCGAGAGCTTTGGCGGCGCTCCTGCGAAGGCGGGGTTTGCTCCGCCAGTGGCGCCGCCGGCACCCCTGCGTGCGCGGCGGGGTGGTACATCTTACTACCGGAAAACGGCGTTCCCCAGCCGTCACACCCACGTCGCGCCCAAAACCAAGGGGCGTATCCAACGCCATCGATGGTGGCGCGCACCGCGGCCACGGACTTGTACGCCGCGGCAGCCCCGCGGAGACGAGGCCCGCGCGGTGGAATTTGGTCGACGCCAGAACCACCTCCGATGGGGGCACCGACGGTCAGGCTTACGCCTAGGGGTCATGGAAGGCCACTCCGACCACCAGAACGGGCTGCCGTGCGTCGGAAGCTTGGCCTCAGAGGTCTCCGTTCCCGGCCCGCGCGTACGTGTTCGGTACTCAAGCCAGCGAAACGGCTAGCCATTCGTCCCAAAGCGAGCGCTTGTTTTTGGCACGTCTAGACACCGGGCGTCCCTGGCCGCACACCAATCCCCGGTAGTTGGACGGGGGGCGCGTCGGCCATCGGCTCCGACGACTTCTTCCTCGCGGGCGAGGTCCAGCAGGTCCTCGCGGATCGGCGTTCTACCAATCGTACCGCCTGCGTCAACGGCGACAAGGACGCCATCAACAAGATGCTGAAGCCCCACAAACTCCAGATCGCCAAGGGCCTCTACCCGCGGTTGTCGACCTCGGTGCAGGTCGCGATCGCCGAGCGCCTCGAGCTGTGTGGAACTCAAATCTTCAATATGACTTCAACGTGAGCGTATGCGACAGTTTCGACGCAAGCTCTTCGGCTGTGCTTCGAGAACTCGACGAGAGCAATCGATTCGTCCAAAAATCAGCCGAATCGACTTCGATTTGGCCGAGCTGGAGAATTTCAAAGTTCGGCCCCGACGTCCCAGCTCACCGGTTGATTTCCACACAGGCCTCGAGGTCGACCACGTCAAGTCGGCGAGCAGCGACCACCTCGTGAACCTGGTCGTCATGCCCAAGTTCGTGAACCAGAGCTTCGGCGCCGCGAACCATATGGGGCTCAAGTGGCGCTGGACAACGAAGCGCGTCTTCGAGATGGCCGACAAGCTCGTCCACGTGCTCGCGAAGCGCGAGCTCGCGGCCCTCTCCGCGTGCGCCTGAGACCCTAGATTCAGCGTAAGCGTCCCTCGGGGCCTCGCGGTCGGGCGCGCGCGCGCGCGTCGCCGCTGCTTGAGGGGGGTCGGTGGCGCCCTCGGCGCCCTCGGCGCCCTCGGGACGAGGGCGCCGCCCCCTCGTCCGACGCCCTCGGACCCTCGGACGGAGGATCGGCGCCCTCGGACGAGGACTCGGCCGTCGGACGAGCGCGCGGCCGTCGGACGAGCGCACGTCCATCGGACGAGGGCGGCGAACCGTTGGTGACCCCCGGCCCGGGGCGCTGGATGTCCGGGGCTGCGTGATGTGTTTATGACAGGCTTTGCACCCGCGCCGCTCAGCGAATACGCGGAGATGCGCAACGATCTCTGTGGCTGCATGGGCCGCATCCTGACGGACGACGCGCCGGTGAAAACGGGACGTCCAGGCGATGGCGTCGGGGAACAGGCGGGCGGTTCTCAGAGGCTCGAATGGGGCGCGCTCGACGCCTCCCAACCCATCGACTCGTTTCGAATCACTGCAGCATCGGGAATCGTTCGTCGTCACCCAGGCGTCGTCTCGGTACAAGGGCTGGGTCGTGAGACTCGAAATCGTCGAGTTCGTCCGGTCGGGGCTCGGGCGCCGCGGCGGTCCGACGGAGACTC